CTGTATTGAGCCACTTGTGGTTCATTTGTAGGGTTTATTCACAGACCAGGTGTTAATAAATCAGGATTGCTTTCTTTTTTTTCTTTCCTTTCTTAACTGAAACGTGCACTCTTCAACTAGAGGCCTAACTTCTTATTTTTTTGGGGAAAAAAAGGGTATGAAATAACCTTAACGCTTTCTTTTAAAATGACCAAAATGGAATTGAGTTGCTTTCCGACTTTGTCTAATGGAGAAGAGCATAGTTCTCTCCCTTTTTTTTGTCTGTGGTTCATGAGCTTGTGAAAGAATAGAGTTCCCCAGGTCTATGTGTGGACTCGGGAAATCAAGCCTCACCCTCTTCCCCATCCCAAGCTCCAGGGCAGACAGGGAGTCCAGAAGGGATAGTGTTGAAGCCTTGTTACCCACCCCTACCCACGAGGGTTCTAGCAACACACGTGCCCCAGATTGCCATACCCCAGGCAACGTGCTCCTGCTCCTGGAACCCGAGTTTATAGAGCAGCTGATAGGACTGTCACACAGCTATTGTGTCTTTTAACCTTAAAAGCTGTCTTTATTCAGGTTTTAAGAAACAGAACATTTGTATATCTAGAAGGTATTTGAAATCAGGATCGCCTACAAAATCTGGAATCTAGTTGTCACCTGATGGCATTAACTTAGCATTTTTAACGAGATGCCTTTTATCGAGTACCTAGTAGGTGTCTCACATTGGGTAGACACTTTACACATGCTAACCCTAACATCCTTGGTATGCACTGGGGCCCAACTGTGCACCAAGTGAGAGGTGGCCTCTTCCTATATGTCTGGCAAATACAGTCTGATAAAAACTATAGTCACAGTAGAACCTTTGTTGTGCCATACAGATACTGAAGCCATAACAGATTGGTTTTTGTTTTGAAAAATGTGAAGAGGGATCCCTGGGTGGCTCAGCGGTTTGGTGTCTGCCTTTGGCCCAGGGCATGATCCCAGAGCCCCGCGATCAAGTCCCACATCGGGCTCCCTGCATGGAGCCTGCTTCTCCCTCTGCCTGTGTCTCTGCCCACTCCCCCCTCTGTCTCTCATGAATAAATAAATCTTAAAAATGTGAAGAACAAGCTTGGCTTCCATATTATAAAATGGATCAGTTGCAGCTGTAATCACTTGTGGTTGGGGAGGCCGGTGTGTTCCTGGTTGGGGCTGTGGCTTTGTTTAGAATGAAGAGGCTTATAAAGGAAGCCATAGAAAGCCCGAGTTCCCCGATTGCTGTGGCACAGGAAACAGGCCAGTCAGGCAGCATCCATTGTCTTGAGCCGATTGTTTAAGATAGAATTTCAAGACCATCTGAAAACGCCCCTTGGTTATTCAGCATGAGGCTTGCTCTGTTCAAGGCTTGCTGCGGGAACAACTGTGGGAAGAACATTTCTGCGACTTTCATGAAATTCCTATTTCCAAACGTTGCCGTTAGGTGTCAAGCCCTTTTCTATTAGCAGAGATCGATGTGCAGAGGAAAAAGTGTCTCTTCTGGGTTACTGATGTCCCTTGTCAGCTGGCTTATGTGACTGTGCTGGGGCAGGGGGGGGGACCATTAATCCTGGTCAAGTTACTAAGTCCCACTGGTACCCACACTGGTGCCAGCTACGTGGAGCTGCCCAGGTGAGGAGCTGTTTGAAAATCAGTGCCCGCGATTAGCCCATCAGTCCATGGTACTGTCGCTTGGAAACTCTTGTTCAACAGCACCTTTGGCTTTTTCCATCCAAGGGTCTGGCATGACTAGCGGTTAGTTTTAGCTGTTGTGAGGAACTGCCCTCCTGTTGCACGAGTGCACCCTCAGTGAGTGGCTCAGACCCCGTGGGACCTGTGTTCTGTGACCCTCCGAGACGCATCTTGAATTTCCCTGAAAACCCACTCCTCTGGCCGTAGACTGCCTGGCCCTTCCTTTGAGGGCTTCCCAGAGGAAAAGTCATTCTGTGCCACACCCCAGGATGCTGAATCACCGTCCACGGGTGTGGCCAGGACAGGCCCTTTTTTTTTTTTTTTTTTGGAAAGCTCCCCAGGTAATACTTATGTGTACCTCCCACCAGGAACCACACTTACAATGATTCTATTCTATTGTAGCTTTAAAAAATATATAGCCCACTTGAAATTCTTAGACAAAGACTAAATTTGACATTTTTAATGCAGTACGGTTAAGGTATTATGGATCACATTTGTTGTCTTTTGATGACTTTTGCCATTACTCAGAAAACGCATCCCTGCCTCTGATGACATTTTCGATGGAAAGAGCAAGGTGGAGGTGGTGGGGTGGGCGGAATTGTGTAAGTGAGACAGGGTAAGTTTTCTTCCGCGGCCCGTCCCAGGGATTTGTTTTGCTGGTATTAGAGATTTCCCTGTGCCTGACTACAGAAGGATGGAGGTTTGCCTGGAGCTCCTTCAGGAGCAGGAGGACAAGGGATCAAGTGCACCTTCCCTCCTGGAGGCTCCACCTCCTTTGGGTTTTAGCTTCCTGCAGCTGAGCCGTGGGCCTGTGGTTCCCTGAGGCTTCGATTCTAGAGGCACGGCTCTGCTTTGTCCTCCCCCCTCACTTGCTACTGATTCCCAGATCTTGATCTCTGGCCCTGCCTGACATTTAGAACTGCTTTTCCACCGTGGACCCTGGAGCCATGTGGAAGACCGAGAAATGCAGACTCTAGGGCATCACTCAGATGCACTTGAATCCTAGTTTGCATCTGATCAAGGTCCCCAGAGGGTGTGTTGTGTGCCAGAAGCCCTGGTCTTCGGGATGTCCCCACCCTCATTCCATCCTCCTTTCCTGCTCCCACCAACCCACGTTTGTCTGTTAGGTAGCACTGTTTCTCCAGTGCTTCCGTTTTCGTTTCATCCTTCCTTTGTTCAGCTCTTTATTGGCTGCCTCCCAGAGGTGGGTGTTGGGAGATGCAGTGAGCAAAACCAGAGCTGTTTCCTACCCTTGTGAAGCTTAGCTTCCAGTGGCAGAAGGAGATCTTACATACCTCACCAGCTATGACTGTGGAATTATGACAAGCATCCGAGAGGAGAGTCAGTAACGCAAATGGAGAGTAGTTAGGGACACCAGGGAAGACTTTGCTAAGGAAGCGATGCCTGTGCTGGGTACTGGGGCCTGAAGAGGAACAGAGAGAACTTTCTAGGCAGAGGGAATAGCATGTGCAAAGGCCCAGTTCATCATAGAAAGTTTACAGAGAATTAATTAAAAAAAGAACATTAAATTGCACTCAAGTCCTCCATCTTTATCTGCTCTTCCATCCAACCTCATCAGATTTTAAACCTCCTCCATTCCCTAAGCTGTGGAGCTAGCCCAGGCCCTTGGCTTTCCTGCCTGCATGATGTGGCCCTGTGCTCAGTCGCACACTTCCTCAGTCTTATTTAGTCTCCCATTCTACAATTGCATTTGCTGGGAAAACCTCTTTTTTCACTGTTCCCTGAGTACACCAAAGTCAGATTGTAGACTAACTCCCGCTTCATATGTGTGTTATTTTAAGTGAACTTGATATCAAAATATACAGAAAAGAAAACAAATAAGAATGGAGCTTGATGGAGCTTTACAAAGTAAGTACACCAGTATCATCAATACCCGGATCAATAGATAGAGTATTAAAAGCTTCCCAGAAGACCTCTCTCTCTCTGTTTCTCTCTCTCTCTCTCTCTCTCTCTCTCTCTCTCTCTCTCTCTCACACACACACACACACACACACACACACACGTCACTTGATGCGGAAGTGACCATGCTTCTGTCTTCTATTAGCATTGATTAGTTTTGCCTGTTTCTGAACTTTATGTGAATGGGTTCAGGCTATTGGTAATGTATCATGTCTGGCTGCTTTTGCCAACATAACATGAGAAGAATCCATTTGTTTCTGGCCTAACAGTAGTTCATTTATTTCCTTTGCTATACGGTCATGCGTGGTATGACTGTACCGTAATTTCCCCATCCTATTGATGGACATTTGAGTCTTTTCCAGTTTGGGGCTATTATAAAAATTCTCGGGATCCCTGGGTGGCGCAGTGGTTTGGCGCCTGCCTTTGGCCCAGGGCACGATCCTGGAGACCTGGGATCGAATCCCACGTCGGGCTCCCGGTGCATGGAGCCTGCTTCTCCCTCTGTCTATGTCTCTGCCTCTCTCTCTCTCTCTCTGTGTGACTGTCATAAAAAAAAAAAAATTCTCATGCGTGTCTCTTAATGGATAAATCTACATTCGCCTGTCGGGAATGTGCCTGGGAGTGGAATTATGTCACAGGGTATGCGTATGTTCAGCTAGTAGTAGTAAATACGGCCAATTATTTTTCCAAAATAGTTGTGCTAATTTTCATTCTTAACAGTCGTGCCAGAAAGGCCCAGTTGCTACAAGTGCTACCACTTGGTTTTGTCAGATTTTATTGTAACCACTCTTGGTGGGCCATATAGTGCTATTACTTTGTGGTTTTAATTTGCATTTCTTTGACGACTAATGTGGTTCCCATTTTCTACAGATTGCTTTGTTTTTTTCTCTTATTGATTTATAGGAGTTCTTTACATATTCTTTATATATGCATATTGCAAATATCTCTGTGGGTTGTCTTTAAGTGGTGTCTTTTAATGAATGTAAATTATTTAATGTAGTTTATAAGCGTCTTCATGTTAGATCATTTTTACACCACAGTTCTGTAAAAAAAAAAAGTAGAATACACAAATATACATTTTTAAAAAATGATAAAAAATTAAAAGCCTGGGAAATATAAATTAAATTTAGACCAGGAGATAAGATAAGGCACACAAATAACCCATATAATTCTATTACGGTATTATAATTGAACAATAAATTTTGCTTAGAGCCACTTAGAAGTCAAAATTCAAAAGGAAACATGGTCTGTTATCTGGTTCACATTCATTGTGAGTTCTTCAGTTTTATGAGGGGTCAAAGCAGACAAGGGATGGATGGACTGTGAGTTGTATCCACATGTAACAGGCAATTTGATTGTCAGAGAGCTAACAGGTGTACCTTCTGTTACAGGTTATTCAGCGATAGTTATGACCTCCCGGTTACGTGCGTTGGGTGGAAGAATTAATAGTATACGCACCTCAGAACTACCCAAAGAGAAAACTCGGTCCGAAGTCGTCTGCAGCATCCGCTTCCTAGATGGCTTGGTACAGACCTTCAAAGCTAATGTAAGTTCTCCAAATGTAATGTTTCCTAAGTTAATGCCACTGGAAATAATTGTTCTTCATTTTATAAGCCAAGAGATGAAAACTATTTTAAAATGAAACCCTGAGGGGGTGCCTGGGTGGCTTAGTCGGTTAAGCGCCAACTCTTGATGTTGGCTTAGGTCATGATCTCATGGTCCTGGGATCGAGCCCCAGATCAGGCTCTGCACTCAGCAAGGAGTCTGCTTGCCCCTCTCCCTTTGCCCCTCATCCAGGCTCGAGTTTTCTGTCTTTCTCTCTGACTCTCATAAATAAAATTTAAAAAATAAGTAAAATAAAAAGCTTGAGATCTCAGTTCTTGTATATTGATATCGAACTGGAAATAACCCTAAAAACTTTGCCCACGTTCCTGTTCACCTGGAGTGTCCCCCCCCCCCTTCTTGGTGACATGAACCCAGAGACTCTTTGATGTTACTTCTTCTCTGTGACATCTTCGTCAGCTTCCTGAATTAGTTCTTCCATAATGGTGCCCTGTATGCTTTAGTGGAGCCCATATCGCATTTCATTAATAGTAGTTATAATCACTAGATTATATGTTCTTTAAACCGTGAGCTCCTCAAGGACAGAAATAGTATCATTTCCCCCTGAGCCTGGTCCAGAGCCGGGCACTTACGACATGTGTGAGTGGATGGGTCCAATCTGAAGGGTGGTAAGACAGTTCCACTCATAGATAGCCGGGCTCAGGAGAGCCTGGCTCCTCCCACCTCAAGCCCACGAAGAGGCAGGACCAGAAACGCAGCCTCCAGTCTCAGGAGTTGCCTGAGTTGCAATAAGATGCTCTGAACTGTAGCAGTCCATGCTGCCTCACTCTACCCCAGTCACCACTTCAGCCAATGACCTCTGCCTCCCTCTCCCATCCTCTAGCCAGGCCTGAAGGGGTCAACCCCAAGTCTGGACTGGCTGCCAGCATCTGCCCCAACCTGGAAAGTTCAGTATGCAAGGAAAGGGGTCGGAAAGAGAAGAGTGGGGAAAAAAAAAAGAGTGGGTACAGGAGAACAACTAGGGGTAATAGAAGGCACAGGACTTGAAAGGGTAACAATAACTGGCCCCTGGGTCTTCCATTCCCACCTCTAACTTTGCTTCCTGCTGGCCCCAGGTCACTATGGACCTTGATGGCTGAATAGACCAGAGGAGAGTGCTGCTTGCAGGAGGTCGCAGCATGGTGGGTGCTCTCAGAAGGTCACAAGTGTCTCTTCCACGTGCTATAAACTGACAGTATAAGTCTGCTCCTTTGTTAAAATGTATGTTTTCTGTTTGGGAGCTATTTCTTCGCTATGTATCTTCCTCCTGACAAGAACATGAATGTTTATCTAACATGTTTACTGAGCACCTACTATGTGCCAGGTTTCACGCTGGGTATAATGAATATAGCAGTGAACAAAACGGCAAAGTATCTGGCCTTTTAAAGCTCACATCCTCATGTGAAGAAATGGACCATAATGAAATGTGTATCAGGTGGTATGTGCTTAGAAGAAAAATAAAGTGGGATGAGGAGGGTAGAGCATGCCAGAGCAGAACAGGGGTGGGATTGTCACTCTACAGAAGTGATCAGGAAAGACCTCACCTGAAGGAAGTGCAGGAAAGAACCATGTGATTCTCTGGAAGGGAAGCTTATTCCCGGTTTTTGAAAAGAGCAGAGCAAAGGTCCTGAGGCAGGATCCTACTCAGTGTAGTTGTAGTATGGACACTAGTATGTCTGGAGTGGAACGAGCAAAGGGGAGAGTAGCAAGAGAGGTCAGAGGTAATTGGTTTCAGGATAGTCAGGGGGACTGTGGGAAACCTTATGGGTCATCCTGAGGGCTCTGGCTTTATTCTGAGAGAGGCAGCAAGCATTGGTAGTTTTGGGCAAAGACCTTACATAATCTGACTCATGATCTCACTCTAGATCCTCGTCAACAGTGGACTTGATGGGGGTAGGGTGGCAAGGGCTAAGAGATTATTCTAACAGTCCAGGGGGGTTGGGGAGGAAGAGGGTTGGTGGACACTGTAGTGGTAGTGTGGAGGTGGCTAAGAATAAACCAAGTCTGAAAATATTTTTGAGGGCAGAGCCTGTGGGATTTGCCAACAGGTAGAATTTGGGATGCGAAAGGGGCCTGATGGTGACTCCCAAGGTTGTTGGCCTGGACAAGCAGCAAGATGGAGTTGTAGTTAAGAGATGGGAAAGGCTGTAGGAAGGGCGGGTTGGGGGCTCTGTCATGGACACGTTGAGTCTGAGGTGCCTATTCCTCATCCCCATAGAGATGGTGATACACAAAGAAGAAGGTTCGGGGGAGGGTCTAGGCTGGGATACAGATGTGGGGCTTACTAGGGCGGAGATGGTATTTCAAGCTACGAACCTGGATGAGGTCCCCTGAGAAGTGGGGACAAGGAAGATATGAACATGGTTCAGCGTCGGAAGGTTAGAGAGACGAAGAACAGGCATTACAGGGGATGGGGACAGACTGTCCTGGGAGGGAGGAGGAGAGCAAGAGCCAATGTCTGAGAATCTGGGCTAAGAACCTCTTTAAGGAGGAGTGATGAGCCTGTAAATGGGGATGAGGAAAGCGCCTGCCCAGAGCGATGATCCTAGAACACAGCCTGGCGCTCAACGGGCGCCCTGTCGTTCTTGGTCACAGGCACTGCTGTTCGTGTGTGACTTCCCCAAGCCGCCAGCAGTCGGGTCAAAGCTGACTCACACTGAACTTGAACCTGAGGGTTCTGGAGGTCTGGTGGCAGCTGAAACCCCATTTGCATTAGATTTTCCACTTGCAGGGATCGTTGGCACCAACTCTTGAGGCATCATTGGGAAGGTGGCCTGGACATCCGTTCTTAGCCTGGCCCAGGGAGCAAGCTGGTCACGGACAGTGACCTGGCGCAGCAAAGATGACCTCTTGTGGGGTGGGGAACTGGGCTGGGAGGCTTGTTCTTTATAAATGTGTGCTTTATTGTATTTCAGTTCCTTTTGAGAACTTGGAAACTTGGGCAGAAATACTAGAAGGGGGGTGAGTTACGCACTCTACAGGGGAGATGAGGCGCCATGGGGACGTGCAGGCTTTGGCAGCCAAGGGCCTGGAGTCAGGCAGGCAGACCATCCATCATCAGCTGATGGCATATGGCATGGAGCCTCCCAGCACCTCTGTTTGCTCACAGCCAAGGGGATGCTGGTGATGCCTTCACGAGTAGCTACAGAGAGTAGAGATGGTTTAGAAAAAGTGCACCTCGTATCATGGCTTGTTGCGGGTGTTCAATAGTTATTTACCTTTTAAATACAAAATCCTATAGGGATTTTAATAAGGGGAACCGATAGCTCTTTGATGCACCAGGAGAGTAGCTCGTAATTCAGGAGGAGAGCATCTCATGACTTGCAGTATGTGGCCTGGGCTGTCTTTCCCACACTGTCACGATTCCCTCGTGAAGGAAGCTGTCCTGGGTAGAGGAAGCAGCAGGTGCAGGGCCCTCGAGCAGGAAGGGGGATGTGTTCGGGGAAATGGGTGTATCTCCTGTTCCCACACTTAGGACCGAATAATACAAGGTCCCACCAAAGAAGAGGTTGTAGGAGGGGGCCTGCCAGCTGCCTAATTCTCCTCTTCCTGGTCCCAGTGGCCTGTTTCCAGGTACATCATCTGCTCTCAAGCACTCAAAAGAGGAGCTGTCATTTGCTTGTTCTACGTAGTCTATTTCTGAGTCTCATTGTCCTTAAGTCAATGGCTTGGTTCAAAGGATTCCTGAGAAGCCTGCCCGATAAAGGAGAATTTGTGATTTTCCAGCGGCACCATGCTGTCTCCCTCCCCTGTGCCTTTGTACCAGGCCCTCTGCTTAATGTTGCCTTTTCTTAATTTCCTCTGGAGGGGGACGGGTGACACTCATCCCTGTCACCCTCCCCGTCCTGGGTCAGGAGTTGCTTCCGCTTGTCCCCAGGTTGAATTACCATCTGTGTCTGTTCTGTGTGTTTACTGGGCCCAGAGTGTCTCACGGCACTTGACAGCATCTGACACACCACGTCCTGGTCACTGCTTCCACGCCTGGCCTCTCTGGGACACTTACTGTGGCTCTGTCTCCGTGCTCAGCATCGTGCCTGCTCCATAAGCTCCGAGTGGTGACGGTAGCCGAGTCCTGCTCTGGACGTGAAGCGTGGCCAAATGTCTCCACTGGCTTCTCACTTCAGATGGCGGAGAGCGGAGACGCAGATAATCCCTCAGGGTGTCACGTATCAAGTCACTTTGAGGGGGTTTAGGATGGCATTTTCGTGTCCTTAGCCATCTTCTTTCACACCGTTAGTAGAGCTGTGTTCCCTGTACACACTGCCGTGGCTCCCAAGGAGCCAACAAACTGATGTGGGATTAGCATTTTGCTCTGGGTAATCCACGGGTAGGTCATGGAGAGTTTACTCTCGTAGTGATCTCTGTTTTCCAATTCAGACATCACTTGGGAATCTCAGCTGAGGGGAAGGAAGAAGTCTTAGAAAATTAAGCTATGCTATCTTAAGTCATATTTATGTGGTATTTCTTAGCCCCACTTCCCATATATACCATGTGACTTCTTGATGTGACATTTATTAAAGCATTTCTTACTGTGAGGTATGAGTGCATATAAAATCTCTAAATGTTTTAACTCCTTTTTTGCCTACAGTAAAGACTTTTAAAAAGATTTATTAGCACGCAAGCACATGCAGGGGGAAGGGCAAAGGGAGAGGAAGAGAAAGAACCTCAAGCAGAGTCCATGCTGAGTGTGGAGCCCGACGTGGGGCTCAGTCCCAGGACCCTAAGATTAAGACCTCAGCAGAAATCAAGAGTTGACTTCCTATCTGAGCCACCCAGGCATCCCTACAATAAAGACATTAATTTGTTTTAAATATCTGCCCACTAGAGGCACCTGGGTGGCTCAGTTGGTGAAATGTCTGTCTGCCTTTGGCTCAGGTCATGATCTCAGGGTCCTGGCATCGAGTCCCCTGTTGGGCTCCTTGCTCAGCAGGGAGTCTGCTTCTCCCTCTCCCTCTGCTCATTCTCTCTCTCTCTCTCTCTCTTTTTCTTAAATAAATAAAATTTTAAAGAGACGCTCGGGTGGCTCAGCAGTTGAGCGTCTGCCTTTGGCTTAGGGTGTGATTCCAGTCCCGGGATCAAGTCCCACATTGGGCTTCCTGCATGGAGCCTGCTTCTCCCTCTGCCTGTGTCTCTGCCTCTCTCTGTGTGTCTCTCACAAATAAATGAAAATCTTTTAAAAAAATAAAATCTTTAAAAAAAAATTTACCCGCTAGACACCTTTTTTTTTTTTTTTTTCCCCTAGAAACAAGACACAGGTCAAGTTCTTCTGGATATGGCATACAACCACTTGGGTGTGACTGAAAAGGAGTATTTTGGTTTGCAGCATGGCGATGACTCAGTCGACTCTCTGGTAAGTACCAGCCCTTTAAGACATGCTGGACTCCTACATGGTTTGGTTTTATATCTTATGTTTTCTTACCCAACAGAGATGGCTGGAATCAAGCAAACCCATCAGGAAGCAGTTAAAAGGTGAGTGTGACCTTCTCATTTCAGTTGCACACTGATTAGTATATCGTGGCCCCTTTCTCTCCTCCAACCCTCAGTGTGCTCCTAACATCTGGGACCTGGATTCTCAGTGGTCCAGGTGGTATGATATGTCTGACTTCTCAGTGAGCGGAGATGCTTCCAAATCAGTCCTCCTCAGCTATGAGCAGGAAAGGGAAAGGTGAAAGAAGGCAGCCAAGAGCCCAGGAACCTACTTGCTTCTTATAAGGGAAGGAGGATGGCCTCTCTTAGACCAGTGTGAGAGCCAGGGTGGGAAGGACACATGTGCATGCACACACACACACACTCACACTCCCTCCCACTGGAGCCTAAGACATAGGTAGGTAATATCACAGATACAACATACTGCTCCCCAGCCATGAGTGGGCCCCAGTGCTGTACTTGAACTCCCAGTTAGGAAAGGCTTCACAGCATGCCCCATCCCCACCCTCCGCCCAGACTGTTCTCAGCCTGGTTTCCCAGCATCACACTCTCTCTTCCCCTTTCTGCACCTTATGCTCCAGACAAATCTGGCTGCCCTGCCAGGCTGCACACATTCCTCAGTGTCTTCCTTCTGTCCCTTCCCTCTTGTTTGAAATGCTTCTCTCTCTCCTATATCCAAATCTTGCTGTTCTTCCAAGCCACTCAGACTGCCATCTCTTTTATTAGAGGCCGTGACTCCGCCTACCCTCCCTTACATTTGTCGTTACCTGCTTAGCTCCCGAGAGCACTCTTTCATCTTGTAGTTGCCTGCCTTTATCTTCCTTGGAAACTGCAAGCTCCTTCAGGGAAGGATGCTTGCAACGTCTGGGCACCTCACAATGCGCCCCCCTCCTCAGGAGGCGGCCAGTGAATGGCTGAGGGGTAGACAGCAGGTGGATTTCATACAAGCGTAAACACACGTATGCCACCTCCCCCCACCTGCCCCAGCACCCCGATGGAAGGGAGTAGAGAGAAGGAACCATGGCCATGATCCCACTGCTGCCTCCAAGCCCTTACCTCCCTTAGCATTCAGAACTACCCATGGGGAGCCACAGAGCCACGGTGCAAGTGAGTATCTGCCCCCATTTGAATTCTCAGAGCCTTAAGTCCCCACAGGCATGAATAGGTATCATCATTCATTCTCTCACTAACTCATTCATTCAGGAAATGTACCCTGAGCTCAGATTTTGGTAACACATTGGGCTAAGCTCTGAGAACCTGGTCCAAATCAGATCGGGACCCTGCACTCGAAAAGCTGACAGCCAAGCATGGGGATGTAGACAAGGAGAGTGACGGTTCTAGGCTAGTTCTGAGCACATGATAGGATGTTCTGGGTGCACAAAGGTATCCTGAGACACTATGACAAGTTACAGTGAGGAGGGGAGCTGGAAGACTAGTCCAAGGCAGTAGGAAGACTGAGCTATCCCCCAGATGTGCGGGTGGTCAGACTATACCGAGTTACAGCGCCACCCACTGGTACCCGAGCACCTGTGCAGAGGTACATTGTAGGTGAACACACCACCCCCCATACCTTTGACACCTGCCAGAGAGACACTGACATTAAGTACTACAGAGAGGGAAGGTGAGGCATCCCGCTCCGTGTCAGGATCAGCGAGAGGAGCAGGGTGGAGAAGGCTTGAATTTCAGAAGCAGCGAAGCGCTGAGCACACAGGGCCAGCAAACATTCAGTGTGTAATGGAGAGGGGTGCCGTTGACCTGAAGAAGAGCATGGAATCCTAGCAGCACAACCTGATCCTCTCCTGTGACCATCTCCAGCAAAAGAAATGGGCTAATTTTATCTCTACAAGCAAACTGACTCTTGGTATTGTCGCATAAAGCCATATTTGAGTATGTTAATTCTATAACACTTGCCGGTATGTTCATCACTTTGGGAATTTACTTTGCGTTAAAAGCACGAACTGTTTCCCAGTATCCAAAAGACTGAGGTGTGGCGTAGCAGAATCAAAAACCTCAGTGCTAAAGTTCTGATTTTGTCCTCAGTTGTGTGCTGAAGGCCCATGTCTATGCCTGTTGGCTTCTCTGCAAAGCAGTGCCATCAGTATCACCCTAGCCTACTCATAGTCTTGGCTATGACTGGTCTTTATGCTCAAGAACATACATGGAAGTGTTTGGGGAAAAGTACAAAATCGCTATCTATGTGAGATTATTTCCTTGTGAATGTTGTATAATCTGTCGATTTAAAGAATTCAGAAATTCCTGCTACAAGTGATGGAGTGCGTTGTTTGAACACAGCCATGTAGTAGGGAGGGGATAATACCTCATTCTGTGCTCGTGTTGCAAAATATCTGACTCTTTGCAGACTTGGAGATTTCTAAACAGTCGATTGTCTTGTGCACTCCTTCTTTTGAAATTCGTCCTTCTATTGATGAAAAAAAGCTGTGGGTCTAGTGAAAAAAAAATGCATCACTTGTGGGAGAGTAGCCGCTTACCTGCATTGACTTTTTTAAAGGGAAAACTTAAATTTGTTTTTGAAAAATGTTGTAGGAGGTTTCCCCTGTACTCTGCATTTTCGAGTAAGATTTTTTATACCTGATCCCAACACACTGCAGCAAGAACAAACCAGGTAATAACATTTTTTTTAAAGTTTCCTTTTTAATATATGAAAATGAGTAACCACTAAAAATGTACTCTTTATCTTATCACTGTGGCCGTACACTGCATTTGGGTATAACCACACCAGCGGTTATGAAACAAGTGAAAATCAGAGGGGTACATAATTGAAATTTTCATCAGCCAATTAGTTTCTCTGTCTTGGGCCTACTTCCTTCCTTATTTGGTGCAATTTCAAGTACACTCCCACCCACCACCTCCTGCCCCTCCTGCTACCCCAAACCCCTCCTGCCTGTGGAGCATGCAGGGGCCCAAAGAAAGTGCTCCTTCCTTCATTTGCTAACGCAGGCAGGGTTTGGAAGATAACAGGGTATCTCTGTGGGGCGAGCATGGGGGCCCTTTAGGATCACAGGAGGTGTCTGAACTGAGCATTCTCGACCAGATCCCCAGTTGGTAGAAATAGAAAGGAATGCAGGCTGGACCAGCTCCTCTCCTGGGTGAATCAGGCTGTGCAGGCAAAATGTGAACCAGATAAGGGAGAGAGCCCAGATAGGATTGTTTACCCCTCAGGGCTTGGCGTAGGGCCTGGCCCTTGTTTTGTACCAGCACGTGGGTTTTCTGGGTGGGGAACAGTGTTTGGAATGGAGGGGGCGGGCACAGGAAGGTGGCTGCTGTTTGAACAGTGACCCCGCCTCTACTTGCACTCCCCCACAGCAATGGTGAGCCCTTTTATTAATGATATGTTTATTTTTCATAGGGAGGGCAGCTTCCAGAGTTTTTTTTTTTCCTCTACCAGAAAAAAAAAAAAAAAAGAAAACCCAATGTATGTTCAGGAATATTGACTCCCATTCTTTGTTCACTGTGCCCATGAGACTGTGTCCAAGAAGGTGACATTAACTCAGGCATCGAGTACGGTGTTTTATTTTTTTGAGGGTCCTCACATGATGACATTTTAGCTTTCGGTTTGTTTAAAGGCTAAATATTAGTCTATTATTCTGTTTTGCCTTTGTCCACCTCTTCCCTCCACAATAGCAGACATTGGAGATTTAACTGTGTTTACTGTTGAGTTAAATTGTAAGCCAGAGTCAGAGATGTCGGCAGGGCTCATCGGGTAGCTGTGGGGGGTTCATGTAGTGCTTTGAGTTTTCCCCATCATGGCTCCTTATGCTGGTGGCCTAAGGGGTTAGTGTAGGAGCTCAGTTCAGAAGCCAGGGGACACCCAGGGGTGACACTGTCTATAGGAATAGGCGTTTGAGGTCACCCCACTACGGTTCCCCCAGGCCATTACTAAATATCAAGTTCTGTTCAAGGGATGCATTAAAAATATTATGACGACACACACAGTATATGTTGTGTGTGTCTACATGTGTGTGGTTTTAGCCAGTGGACTTTTAAATCACAACCACGCAGCAAAGATACATTGTGCTTCACCATGCAGTACAGATATGTATTATGAAGCTAGCAAGGACAGAGCACTCTCAGGTTCTTCTTCTCCATTTCCTTCTTTTAAAATTCCAATTGTGACCCATTAAATTTATGACCAACTGATAGGTCCCAATGCCAGGTATGAACCACCTTGCCTAAACTAGTCCTTGTCACCCCTCATTCTGTCTCCCCCATGATGCTGGAGCCACCGGGGGTGTGGCGGCCAGCAGGCACGATGGAGGTCTCCAACCGTAGAACTAGAGTGGAGGGATTGCTAGGGCTGGTCCGTCTCCAGTGGCCCTCTTGGTCATTGGGCATCCACTTCCCGACCCCACCAGAGAGAAGCTTCCTCCCTCTGGGTGCCAACAAAATCATCCTGCTGAGCCTCCTTGTCATTTGAGGGACCATTTGAGATGGATTGAGACCGGGCTGTCTTGAGATCTGGAAGGGCCAACATGGGTAAGGGGAATTAGATGTGCTTGGTGGTAGATCATGGCCGGTGGGGGGAGGATGCAGAGAGGCAGATTTGGGCACAAGATGAGTAATAGATAAATTTTTGTCCTTCCCTGAGTCCAAGATCAAAGTTTGTTTGAATCCCTGCTACAGTTCACTGTGTTAGGACTAACACCTGACCCTAACCACCCCACCTTCCAAGTTAAGATGCATGGTATTCCCCAGGGTGGAATAGAGTGTAGCTGTCACCTCCTGGGAGTCTGGGCACCAGATTTCAATGTAACAGGAGCCATAGCAGCAGCCACCCACGTGGCTTCTATAGAGCTGGTGGGCAGCCAGGACTGACAGATCTTTTTCTTATGCTGAGCTAGACTTCCACCATTAATTCACGTGTGTGTGTGTGTGTGTGTGTGTGTGTGTGTGTGTGTTTAACTTAGAGTTTTGCCTTGTTTTGCCTTTATTCCTGACACACAGTATCTTAGTAAGCCCCAGCTCTGTAGTTTATCCAGAAATAAATCCCTTTTAGAGAAATTTAGCTCTCAAGTGTCAGAGAAAGCAGTATTTGTTGTTTTCTGTTTGTTTTCTAAAATTCTAGGCAGGGAGGCATTCGTTGCTTTTGTGTGTGTGTGTGAAGTTGAGGTCACGGATGGGATACACTCTAGGAATGATCTTTACATTTCTGAAGTTGGATGCACTGAGCATCTCTTCTGTATGGTTTTCTTTTATTCTAATTGCTAGACATCTCTTTGACTGTGAGCCTCCACAACTGCTGTTCCTGATAAATTTAGGTCGTTGTATACCGAATTTCATTTACTGGCAGTCTCGAAATGAGGCTCCTTCAGGATTTCCAAGAGACCCCTTACTTTGGGCCTCCTCCCGCTATTACAGCCTCTTTTTATGATGTCATGGGGTTGACTCAGGCAAAATAGCCTTTGATGAATGGTGACATCCAGGTTCATGTTCTCCTTTCTATCCCTAGGAAGATACACCAATTAGCCAGGCTCGTCACTGGAGGGCCAGATTCACCATCGGATTATCTAGCATTCTCTCCCTTCTCTACTTTCTTCCAGTAGCATTGTAGGAGGAGAGAACACTTAATTCTGGTTGAATGTCAGCTTGGATAAACATAGGAACAAACTAGAAAGGACTGGTGATGTTCTCCTAGGTGAAAAATATAGTCTCCAATACAGAGTAAGTGTGAATCAGCAAATGTATGCTACACGATGTTTCAGTGCTGGTCTTCAACACGTTAAGGATAGTTGATGATAACTACAGTCTATGTAATGATACCAGAAATAGGAAATTGACCCTAAGCTGAAGTCATTAGATGCAGAAGAAATTTGTAGCATAGTCAGGTTTTTTCATAGTGTGAGCGTCCAGGTTAAAATAAGAACTAACTGACCCCATGTAACCTATCTGAATGCCTGTTTCCCCAAAAAAGAGGAGGTGGTGGTGCCTTCTTCAGAGCTGGTAGGAGGCTGAAATGAGGCAGTATATTATAAATTTCCCACACCCGGCCTACATCTGTGCAGAGAGGAGGTCGTAATGCCCTGTGAAGTAGTCACATCTCAGAACACCAGCCTTGACCTTTGAATGTAAAGCTATAAAGGAATAAGGAGACCCCATGTGTTTTAAATTGCCAAAATTATCACTCTCCTGCCCCAGAACACTCCTGCTGCATCTGTATTATATTTCAAGAAGTTTCCCTTTTGTCCTCTTGGCCAGACGCTGGAATGTCTATCCCATTTGAATCTGGGCTTTAAAAAAGAGTGGGAGCTAGTAGCCAAGTGTCACATGTGTGCCACATCCCTAAATATAAAGCTTTCCATGGCCCTTCGTGGCTGGTGCAGCACTCTTGCTGCTGTTACCCAGTCCCTGGATGGTGGGCAGGTTCACAGGGCGAGGAGCCCGTGATGGCTTCCTGAGCGCTGCCCACAATCAGGTCCTGGGTTTTGAAGTGACATTGCTGGTGGCTCACAAGGGCCAACCAAATTCAGCTCGGAGGTCCTGGCAGCTGATAGCTGACTGATGTTTATGTACCCACAGTACCTACAGCTCAAGTACCCACAGTTCCTGGGACACAGGAAAAAACTCAGCTGGGTGCTTGCACCCAGCCAAGGAGGTGTCCGCATGGCCCCACCTCCTCTATGCAGCTTCATGCGGAGGGAATGTGGGTGTGTTCTGAATCGCGGCCCCCCAGCACATGGGGGCTGCCAATGCATGATGCCTGTGGGTCCTGTGCTCTTGGAAGCCCCAAATTTGGTTGGGAATGTCCAGGGTGGGGGTGCCCACTGGCAACAGCACCAGCTGATCTTTGGCGGGCTCAACCATCCCTGGGACAGCATGTGCTGGCGTGGGGCTGGCTGCAAGTCAGCAGCCACATGAACCATTGTTACTGAAGGGGCAGCTTTGCAACGTACAAAATAGTGCCTGATAATTCAGATGGAAATGTGTGTGTATGCATTTTGTCTTCCACATGTACAGATCTTGTCCTTATCACCTTTTTTTTTGTATTTCCATTTGAGTATGATGAATTAATAAAAACAATTGTTTTGTAGGCATTTGTATTTCTTACAACTGAAGATGGATATTTGTGAAGGAAGGTAATGAGAATTTCACATTCTTCTTTTCCTGTCAGCTGCCGGGCACTAAAATTCCTGGTTTTTTAATCTAATGAGCGTGTATTTCTGGTAACAGTATTAAATCTAAACAAAGGGTGGATGTTGAAAGCCGCATCCTGCACGGCATTACGCTCTGGACATCTGGTTTTAACTCAGTCTTGATTTTGAGAAGCCGAGGATGGATAAAACTTCAGTTTTATGGGAAAAGGTACAGTTATCTTTCTGGTAAAGACCTGAGAAATTTTGAAGGGAGAATGTGAGACAGGCTTCATTCCAGAAGGCAGATTGGACCTAATATAGATTCACTTCCAAGCCCCTCAGTTACCTAGAGGTGATTCCTTTTCTCTCTGGGAGCCTTTCTGCTGAAAGACGAGTGTCTGCCTGCGAGTCAGCACGACTTGTGTGTCAGGACCATCTCCAGGAGTATCTGAAATGGCTCGGGAAGGGAGAAAAAATGCCAAGCCACTTGTCCCTGAGCTCTCTCCTTCAAATCCTGGCTTTTCCTTGACCTAAGGGAGAACCTGCAGCAGGTGAACTGGTGGAAACAGTCACTGCTTATTCTCCTCATTCCTGCTTTCCTCCTGCCAGCTCTCCTGAGGAGGGTCTTCAGAAGCCTCTATGAGGGAGCCCACCATGAGGTTGGGGGCAGTGAGACAGGAGCCCGTGAGGCGATTGGGACCAGTATGGACGTTGCAGACCCCAGTTGCCATGAGGATTTAGAAGGAGTGCGGGCTGGAGGTCTTTGCCCTGTGCCACCCCTTTGGTCTCAGCTGAAGAGCACATGTTGCAGGCTTACAGAATACAGTTGGGAGGCTCTTCCTGTCAAAGCTAGACAAGCATCTTGTGTCCAGCAGGCAGAGGAGAGCTATTGGAGGTTCTTAATCGGAAGGCATGTGGCCAGAGCAGCATCTACAAAGATCATGGCAGTGCAAGAAAGGGAAGGCTACAAGAGGCTGGAGGGGCTTCATCTAAGTGGAAGGGAGATTTGCGGGCAGGGCCATGAAGATCCTGGGGATGGGGTTAGGGGAGGAACATTTAGAAACAAGACTTGTGTTGCTTTCTGGACTTCCAGAACCTGTTGACTGCTCAGAGCTCCTGGAATTCGAGAATTTTTGTGATTTAGCTCCTTCTCGCACTCAGAGAAGGAAGGAACCCCTTCTCTAGCACAACTGCAGGCTTTGGGCCTCTGCTTAAGCATCCCCCAGAAAGGAGCTCCCCGTTTTGTGAGAGAGCCTTCTCACATGTGAGGGTGACTCTGGTGAAATTACCCACCCCTCTCCTGGGTCCAGCCTGCCCTCTGCACCAAAAGAAACTTGTCTCTCCCTCTCTCCTAGGCACTAATTTCTTTTCCCAGCAAATGTTTTGCAAGCGCCTGTTACGCGATGGGCTCTGTGCTGTGCTGGTCAGATAAGGCCGGGCCTCCCACCCCCAGGAGCTCTCTGTCCAGCCAGTGGAAATTGGCTGTCTTCATTCATTCTTCTCCAAACACAATACCCCCGTTAGTCTCTAGTCACACCTGTTGAGGGGCACCTCCTGCCTTCAATCCCTGGCATAGCTGGTCAGGCCTGCTGGTTGCCTTCACCGCCTCTCTCAGGAGAGGGTCTCCTGCTACCAGATACTTGCTGGGTGTGTTAGGGTGGGCCTGGCCATTTGTGGCTGTGGGTCTTTGAACAGACGGGATGGATCTAGTTAGCCTTCTTCCTGGGTGCCCTGACTTGCTCCAACCATCTGTGTCAGTGGCCCTGGCTCCGAGGCATGCTCTCCTTCCAGCTGAGAACAGGTGACCCTGTCTGTCGGAGTGAGACTCTAAAGCCTGGAGGGAAAGAAAGGGGTCTGCCTGGGGGCATCGTTGAGTGGCCATGCAGGCTCTCAGCATTCCTTTTTAGTTTGTATTTACACTATTATTTGGAAATGTTCTTTTCTGACTTCTTCATAGTTGTTCCTTCCCTGTAAATGGAACCTCCGTAGCTTCTCCTCAGTTCCTTGAATCCCATTCGTCTGCTCTGCCTCTAGCAGGAACACTGACTTAGGTGTCTTTGAAGCCCATCTGGGTCAGACAGCAAGTGGCTGGGGTTTGCTCTCCCCACGGGCTCTCTGGGTCCCCAGATGAACAAATAGATGGTGAGCATCCCTGGACATATCTCCAGACATGGAGAGATCATTCAGCAGTTCTAGCAGGAAACACCTAGTCACCTGAGGAAAGTTGGGGGCCCCTCCATTGGGGAAGGCCAGGTTCTCGTGCAGCTTCAGGACAGGTCCCAGCCCAGCAGATAGGAAGGGGAACCCTGGGCTGCCCAGTCTGATTAGTCAGAGAGATGGAGGTGACTCACATCTTGGGAATTTCGGGAGCTGCCATGGAAACAGTACTTTTCCCCCACTTCCCCTGGGGCTGCTGGGAAGAATGCTCTTGAAATCTGGTCTCCCCACCCAGCGAGCCTTCCTTCGTGCTGCTTCTCTTCAGCCTCTCCTCAGCACATTTCTCCACCTGGCAGGGATCCCTGCCCCGGGTCTGCTGGCCAAGCTCAGGCAGATGGTGACGTTCATGGTTGAACAGAGGGAAGGGAGCAACCGGGGGACTCGAAGTATGACTAAGCTAGAGCTGGGGTCATTGGCCGAAATGGGCTGTTTGGAGGATAGTGAGCCTGAGGGCCGGGGAGCTCAAGTATAACCCCAGTCCTTGGGTCTCTGGCAGGTGGCAGGCAAACTGGGAGGCAGATGGACCATTCCCTGCAGATCAGAAACTTCAGGAGGGTAAATAGATTTAGGAAACTTAAGTAGCCGACCCAGCAATTGCACTGTTAGGGATTTACCCCAAAGATTCAGATGCAATGAAACGCCGGGACACCTGCACCCCGATGTTTCTAGCAGCAATGTCCACAATAGCCAAACTGTGGAAGGAGCCTCGGTGTCCATCGAAAGATGAATGGATAAAGAAGATGTGGTTTATGTATACAATGGAATATTACTCAGCCATTAGAAACGACAAATACCCACCATTTGCTTCAACGTGGATGGAACTGGAGGGTATTATGCTGAGTGAAGTAAGTCAATCGGAGAAGGACAGACAGTGTATGTTCTCATTCATTTGGGGAATATGAATAATAGTGAAAGGGAATATAAGGGAAGGGAGAAGAAATGTGTGGGAAATATCAGAAAGGGAGACAGAACATAAAGACTCCTAACTCTGGGAAATGAACTAGGGGTGGTGGAGGGGGAGGAGGGCGGGGGGTGGGGGTGAATGGGTGACGGGCACGGAGGGGGACACTTGACGGGATGAGCACTGGGTGTTATTCTGTATGTTGGTAAATTGAACACCAATAAAAATTAATTTATTTAAAAAATAAAAAAAGGAAACTTAAGTAGCTGTTACTAAGCAATTTAGAACTCTCAGGAGTTTTTAAATTTTAAGATCCTTTTTTATTTTTCCCATCTAAGAGGGTGTCCCCCCTCTAGAAAGTGGGTAATCAAGAATCACGGAGTCAACAAAAGTCAACAATTGAGTTAGAAAGCCCTACAAAAAGTCTCACGTCTTTACTAGAAAGATATGAAGGTGGCCCATTGATCTAAGAGTATGATTTTCCTCACTTTTCCCTCTTAGTGATATGAGCCTGGCCTCTCTTGACCAGCCCAACAGTAGGCCTCTAGCTTCATGATATTTGTATTAATGTGCGTTAAACACAACAAAGTTCTCTTTTAATTGTGACTCTTTAGTGTTACATTTATCTATACTATTTGAATTATATCCTAAAATTGTCTTTGTTACGATCCATGATGCTTTTTTAATGGTTAATCCATGAAAGGGACAGGTGTTCCCCATGATGGATGGTTCAGGCTGTTGTTGGTTCTTGTGACTTTTCTAATATCTTTTTCTCCTGACAGGTTAACCTGCCCCCTTAACTCGGCAGTGGTTCTAGCATCCTATGCAGTACAATGTAAGTCACCCAGGGAGCATTTCCGAGATGGACAGACTGTTCTGACCGATGTATTAAGAAAGTCCCTGGCCTTTCCTGTTTGACCAGGTCACTTCCCCTCTTCCCAGGAATCCCGTTGGGCACGCTTCACTCCCACTTTCACCCTGACATGCTCCGCTGGCACAGGGATGTTGGTTAGGGAAGGTGTGGCTGAGCCCATACAACAGAAGTCACCTATCATACATTGCCTTAACCAGACCTTTGCTCATGTGTTAGATCTTATAACAAGCCCCAGGGGGCAGATATTTCTACCAGTCACCTCTTACAAACATGGAAACTGGATCCCACAGTTAAGGAATTTGCTGGAGGCCACTCATGCTACTTGCTTAGGACCGTAGGAATTTATTTTTAGAATTTCAGTAGAGTTAATGAGTTATTTATTGGTTTGTACCAGCAGTGTCCAGTAGAAGTATAATGTGAGCCGCATCTATAATGTTAAGTTTTCGAGTACCTAGTATTAAAAAGGGAAAATGAAGCAGGTGCGATTAGCTTTAATACTTTAATTAATCCAGTATATCCTGAATATTATTTTATTTTTTTAAAAATATTTTATTTATTCATGAGCGACAGAGAGAGGCAGAGACACAAGCAGAGGGAGAAGCAGGCTCCATGCAGGGACCCCAATGAGGGACTCAATCCCAGGACTCTGGGATCACGCCCTGGGCTGAAGGCAGCTCCTCAACCGCTGAGCCACCCAGGCGTCCCCTGAATATTATTTTAATATGTAAGCAATATAAAAAATTAACAAGATATTTTACCTTTTTTTTTTTTTTTTACGTGAAGTCTTTGAAAACCAGTCCAGATTTTATACTTAGCAGCGTATCTCAATTGGACCAGCCACACATTGCTAGTAGCTGCCACATTGGATAGAAAGTCTGTGTTGGAATTTCCCATTAAGACTTCTTTAAGAATTCACTCATTCGGTTGAACTTTGTTGAGCATATATCCCACATCAGGCCCGGTGGTAGATGCTGGGTGTGCACCATAGAAAGGGTACATAGCCAGATGGAGGGCGAGGTATCACTTCAGAGTTAGCTGTGTGGTGCCACTGCAGTACACTAACAGAGTTTCGTGGTAGCCCAAGACTGAAGAAGGCTCCTCCACCTTTCTGTAAGCTCCACACCATAACTCTTTTGGCTGGCTGTATGGTAGGGAGTTGAGAGGACAAGATGGTCAGGTCTCAGAGCAAGTGCTGGCTAAATTACTCACTCTAATTTGGTCTCAGCAGCAAAATAGCAAGAGAAGGGTGACAAGGACTCCTGAGGTGACCTTAAGTCTGTCCACACCCCTGGCTTCAAGGAACAAGAATAAGAGAGGTAAAAGAGCAAAGTGGCTGGGCCTGTAGCTTACCTGCCCACCTGTGTGATACTGGGAGATAGAAGACAGACTTAACAGTGACCCTACTCACTAGTTAGCTAAGACCTGGTTTCAATCTCTGCAGATAGCCTGCATCTCCTCCTCAGCGGGAAACTGAGAAGAGGTTGCACAGTGGTGGGTCTGGGTAGATTTGAAAGTTCCCCTCTCCCTGCAGTGCAGCTGGAACAGACTCCGCTAATGTTACATCTGGATGGGAAATGACATGGCCACAGTCAACTTGTATCCTTACTGATCCCTAGACCTCATGGATTCCGTCTCTGCCAGGCTGATCGGCTGAAGAGACAAACTTAGCCACATTCCAGAGTGAGTTTGTTTTCACAGTGAGAGCTTCAGGTTTGAGAGACAGGAACACTTTTAGAAAGGACATAGCTTCGGATGCATTCCGACTAAATTTAAAGCCTGGCTCCTCCATTTGCCATGTACGTGGTATTACCTCCCTGAATCGATTGCCCATTTTTTCCATCTGTAAGATGGAGGTGAGGATGTTGATGACAACTCAGAACTGACTGTTTGAGTCCAATCACACATGTGAGATGATCTATAACTGGAAACTATAGTTGGACCCTTGCCTTTAACTGAGTCGATGAGAGCACACCTGAAGCCGTATTACCTGGGCTTTGGCTCTCCCACATACACACCCATGACCCTGAGCCTCTCCAGGCCTCAGCTTTTTCATCTGTCAGGTGGGGCTAACAGTGTTTCCCTATGGGGTAGTAGTGAAGATAGAATGAGTGATTATATGGAAAACCCTGAGAACCGTGCTTGGCACACAGCAAGTGTTAACTCTTCGTTTTCATGTCTTCCCAGAAGAAAGCTTTCTAAAGAACTGCCTGTTGTAAACAATAAACTCTGTTTAGAGTAAAATTTAAGAGCCAAATAAGAAAATCCTATTCTAAGTGTCAGTGGTTGGGTTCCCCTCTGCCAAGGATGATAGACTGAGGGTAAAGGACTGTTTAGCACCTAGCAAGTACAAACTAGTTTCAGCAGAAATAGTAGCAAGATCACCATGCTAATAAAATCATGGGTTGTCAGACAAGCATTTTTTAAGTATAAGCTCTTTATTCCTTCACTATCTGGAAGTACATATGTATTTTTCCTCAAACTTCCCTGCACACATTTCTGTAAGATTAATTGTGGGATGGGATACTGCTGGATAGTCTACATTTTTATCTGCTACCTTTCACTAAATAGTCCCAACAGGGTGTGTCGTAGCATGATAAGCCCCACCAGTGATGAGCAAACCAAAAGCACATTTTCTTATTAGATAAAAAGCAATGTAGGTAAATACTGAAAAGACTGTAGGTGGCTGGTGACCTCAAGTATTTACAAGGCTCAGAGAATGAAGTTTTCAGAAATACATAACTTATCCTGTAATGTCTGCTGACCTCTGTCACGCGCAGGCTTTGCACCCACCTCAGGGCACAAAGACAGACAAAGCATGACCTCTCTGCGAGGGGTGTCCTGCCTGGTGGGCAGGCAAAGGTGGGCCCGCTGATGCTGGCGTTGAGGGCGAGCATAGAGGATACACTGCATCCTGCGTGGGGTGAGAAGCGGGTGAGTCCAAAAAAGCTTCTTAGTGATGACCACTGAGAAAAACCTCCAAGATCAAGTTGGAGATGGACAAATAACATGGAAAAGGCTTATAAGATGCAAAGAGTGTAACCTTTTCCCAGCAGAAGAGTGTAACCTCTGGAAATGCTGCACATTTGTGTGCCTAGAATATACCTCTCTCTTTCCTGAACAATATAAAATATTAGCCAGAAGAATGCATGGAACTTAAGACAATGTATTTCCCAAATACTCATTTCCTTTTCTTCCTGCTATAATTAGCTTTTGCATGCGTTGCTTCTCCACAAATAGGAAAGTGTATTACCCTGGAGGTTAGGGTATGTGGTAGAGTCAGTAGATGAAGGATTTTGGACTGTGGTCAGAGTCTAGGCTCCAAGTTACCAGCTGAGCAAAATGGGCAGGTCCCCTCCTTGAGTCTCCCTTACCTTAACTGTTTCATGAAGATAAAAGCAATGCCTGTCACTGGGTTGTAATGAGCATCTAATGGGTTGACGGCTTTGAAAACATCCTGGGAACCTCCCTGTGCTTTCCTGGCGTTTGCAGATGACTGTTTGACTTTGTTTCCCTCTAGTGGTTAGCATAGGACTTTGCACAGAGTAGCCAACTAAGATTTCAAAGGAAGACCACCCTACTGGGAGGCTCATTGACCATTTATTTAAGTTCAGATATTTGTCAGTGACTTAGCGAAAGACAGCCTTGCTATTCATATTTGTAGAAGGGCCTGGGGGTTGGGACTTGTTAGCTAATATGGATGACCAAATCAAGATCCAAGAGGATCTCCATGAGCTATAAAACCTACAGAGTAAAAAAAAAATTTAAGATTTTTAAAAAATTCATTATTTATGCATGAGAAACAGGCAGAGGGAGAAGCAGGCTCCATGCAGAGAGCCCGACATGGGACTCGATCCTGGGACTCCAGGATCCCACCCCAGGCCGAAGGTGGCACTAAACCACTGCACCACCAGGGCTGCCCTACAGAGTATAATTTAATAGGACTCTGCCTTGAGGCTCAGGACAATCCCTTGTAGCATTTGCCTGTCTTCTGGGGATATGACCGCTGTCCTCAGCAAATGGCCCACCAGCAGCAGCCTTGGACCTGGCAGGCTGGCTGGTAGGTTAGGAGCACCAGCTGGGGCATGCATCACCTGGGTTCTGGTCTTGATTGCTGAAAGTGGCTTCTGTGACCGGGAAGTCCCTTCTCTGGTCCAGTTTCTTCCCTTTTTACAAAAAATTTGATTGCTTCTTCCCTTTTAAAATGAATTTACACAAGGTAACTTTATGGCTTTCTCAAGCTTTCCTCCCTGGGTGCTCTGTGTCAGGGCATCTAAATTATTTCCCAGATGTACTGTTGTACATTTCACCATTGTACAGACTCACCTGAGCGTCACACTGGTGCTTGTATAATCCAGCCTTGATGTTTTTGTCCATAGCTTAGCTGCATTTGGCTGGCCTTAATGGCCAGTGGTCTGCCCTTGACCAAATCTGCATGCGTAGATCACTTGACTTTCTGCCGCCTTCCCCTTCCAAAATCAAACTTTGTAGTAGCTTTTATCTGGGTTAGTTCCAAGCACAGCATCCCTGAGCACCTACCATGTACTGTGCATAGGTGCTAGGCCCCACAGATGAGTCTGCCTCACTCCCAGCCCCCAGGGAAGACTGTAAGGAGGAAGCCTCCCATTACGACAGTATGGATCTCAAAGAGCAGCTCTTATGTGTGATGGCAGTTGAGGATGAGTAGGGCCACACGGATGTAAAGAAAGACATGCTTGCATCTGGCTTCTCATCTTTGTGATGAAATCTCCCGAAGCAGCTCCCTGGCTCCTCTCCTTCCCTTCTGAGATTGGCCACAAAGCATCACTGCAGCTTCTGCCAATCCCCATCCTTGTGAAACAGACGGAGCTATTTGATTTAGAAATCTGTGTTGAATGGGTACTGTGAAACATCAGTCCTCAGAAGCTCGCTGGCGTGGAGACCAGGTGCAGGAAGAATTCATTGCAACCTCTGGAAAGATCAAGGTTAATATTTTTAAGAAAAAAGATGAAAGTGTCTTATTAAGAAAATGAAATACCACTTAATTGCCCGTCAAAACTAGAACTTATTCTCCTATTTTTATAAAGCTGGAAGAACTGAATCGAGAAGGGAAGCAGGTGTCCTTGGGTCCCACAAGCCAGATCCTTGGCTGTTCCACCCAGGGTCTTTTTCCCAGTCTCAACAGTCCAGACACCCAGACAGTTTGAATCCTCAGGGCAACCATGTATGCTTGTACAGGTTGGCTACTGAACAACTCTCAGGAATACCTGTGGCCATAGATAATCAATGAAGCATGTTTGTAGAATGGCAGTCAAGGATCTCAAGGGAGAGGTACTGTTTGGACCAGGGATGCATCTGGAAATCCCTCTAGAAAGCCACTTTCCTCTTAACCTTGCAGTTGCAGGTCCTCGTTTCCCTGATTCCTCTAAGAATGTTTCACTTCTTCCCAAGAACTCTGCCCTCAGCCTTGCCAGGGCCCAGACCCATGAGCCCCACCCACCCCACCCCCTCATTCCATCCCCCACCTTCCCTCTGGGCCTCCGAACACATCCTGGTTCCATTTCTTCCAACCTTATCCAAATTCCAGGGAGCCGATCAAGGTGCAAGTAGTAGGTCAGTGTGACCTCTTTGCTGCCCACACCCATTGTTTTAGAGCAGGTTGGTCCAGTGCTATAATCACCTGGGGGTACTAGACGGCCTGTCTGCACGGTGCCTGGCATACAGGACATGGCATTTCCGAGTGGGCACTCAGTGTCTGTATCCGGGGTACAGTGCAAACTGCTGTGGGTTTAGAACAGGACCTAGGTCAGACTGCTTAAACATCTGGCCTCAGGGAAAGATTATTCAGCTGAAGCATGCATGGAGGTGCTTGACCCATGTAGGGTCCGATAACCGTGTGGAATCTGAAGCCAACAAGAAGGCCAAGGGCACGTGGTGATAGAACCTCTCGGAAGAATGCTTCCCATGCTTTGCTTGTGATGCTGTCGATGCCCGTGAATGCAGACCGTATTGAAAAGGCGATTTCCTCCTCATTCTGTCTTGGTAGCTCATTTTGGAGACTATAATTCTTCCATTCATCATCCGGGCTATCTTTCTGATAGTCAGTTTATACCAGACCAGAACGACGACTTTTTAACGAAGGTGGAATCGCTCCACGAGCAGCACAGGTGAGAGGAGGGATGGGGTGGTGGCCTACTTTGGGAACCCAGGCTGGGCATTTCGGACCTTGCATCCTTATGTTTGATGTTTGCTTCCTTTAGTTCATGAATCCTCTTTTAAGCTGTCGGGGGTTTGTGAATCTTTGAGCTGTTATGATGGCAGATATATTTGGCATAACTAGCATTTCTGTAAAGTGCAAAATCCAGTAAGAGTTTAGGGGGATTTACAGCGTTCTTTTTTAGGATGTCACTGAAATCCGTTAATTCCTAGGGGAAATGCCCTTTTTAAAGCGGACTGTCCCACAAATGACCTACCAGGCAGACCTTTGAATGGTTGGCCACATTTAATAAAATGGGTGGCTCCTTTGGGCATCGTGGAATAGCCAGGCATCTGGACCACGGTCGCCAGGCTGTGTGAATCCCACGTCCTCTCTGGGATCGGGTCACAAAACTGCCTAAATTCCCGAAAGGAGCCCCAGTGTCCCGTAGCTGCCTCAGGCCAAGCCTGCCCTCCACCAGACAGGCCCACTCCCGGCCTCCTCATCCTTTGCCTCGTTTTAGTCAAAGCTGCAGTGGCATCTGTTCAGTCCCGGGTCAAAAAAGCGCCATCCCAACCGGGAAGGCCAGGTCTCAGGGGACCTGCCATTCTCAGGAAGGCTGAAAAAACAAAGGCCAAGCAGCCAGCGTCCCTTCTAAAAGGCAACTGCCAATCCTCCCTCCCAGAATTGTTTCCCAGGCAGAAGCCAGCATCCTAAAATAGCCCAGTGACGTCTGGGAGCTGGAGGCTGCCGGAAGAATAGATAAAGGTGGAGAGACCTGAACTTGGAACAAGGAAGGTGGGAATTTCAAAAGGTGGCTGTCTTCTGGATCTGATACTGAGAGCCCACTGGGTAAGAAGTAGTATTTAGTAAAGGATGGAGCAGGCTAGATGAAGTCCTATTCAGTGGACAAGAGAAGGTCCTGGTTTAGTAGAATCCAGGGTTAAGTTGTTTAAGAATTATAACATAAGGCATCTAATGACCTTACAACAATGTTATGAATTTGGAGAGGAATTTTATTTTTAAAGTTGGAATTATATACTCTATTGATTGGCAAACTCTGCGTCTTCTCTCCTCTTCTGTAGTGGGCTAAAGCAATCCGAAGCCGAATCTTGCTTCATCAACATAGCACGGACCCTCGACTTCTATGGAGTGGAGCTGCACGGCGGTAGGGTAGGTACCCTTGGCCCAGTCGGGTTCAGAAATTAACTTCCGAAAGTTTGAAAACGTCTTGAAACTGCCTTTTCCAGAATAATAATAATAATAATAATAATAATTAATAATAATAATAATAAAAGACCGTCTTAAACAATATTTAGAAACTTTATAAAGTAATGTTGAGTTTGGTTGGTTATTTATCTGGTTACTTGTTTCGTGTTTCCATGGGGTAGGGGCATCATGAGGATTAGAAACAAGTAGTTTTTGTAAGATGATTTCGTATTACGGTTAAAGAAGCAAAGGACGTATATGCTCATTAGAGCGATGCTTTAATGAGCCAAGGGTTTAACTGTTTCATCTCCGTGCTGCTCAAAATATAGCTAACTGCTCAAATATGACCGCTTCTAAAAATTATTGAAAAATATTTTAAATTGATTGTTCCTTTTAAATAAAATTGGCTAATATCCTTCAATGACTGAGCAATTTCTATCTGCCAGACACAGTGGCTTGCTTATTTCAGTAATGCCATGAGGTGAGTATCCTCATTACCCCATTTTACAGATGGAGAAACTGATACTCAGGAACTTCTCAAGGGTCACATAGCACACAAGTAGCAGCTTCAGTACGTGACCCCAGCACTAATTGGCATCCAATCTTTATATTTTCTACCAGTAATTGTCCCACATCATGTCCAAAAGGAAGCAAATATTGGTTGAACAACTAATAGGTACTAGCCATTGTTCCAGATGCTTTTCACAAGAGCACAAGGTCTCATTTAAAGATTATTAGCAATCTTGTGAAATCGGTATGCTAATCATCCCATTTTACACTGAGAAAATGGAGGCTCAGGGAAGTTGAGTAAATGACCAGCTTTACATCTGTAGAGTATTTTTGTAATTCATAGACACACTTTCATTTCTTTTGTGCCTCTTCAGTCTTAGAACCCTGTGATAGGCAAGTTATGACCTAAGTAATAAATTAGGAAAAAGATACGGGATCTTAGAAAATACTAACTTTGGGACTTGATGGTTAATTTTTATTAGATCTGCAAATAATTATTTGTTGTAGAATGTTGTCGAGAAACTTCTACACTGGTGAAGTGGGCTTTATATGTGTCTGAGTTGATCTGTACTCTCCCCACCACTTGCGTCCCATGAGAGACCTCAGGCCAGATGATTACCTGCCTGGCTGACACCCCCAAGGTGTCAGAGGGAGTTGGGTTACCTTTGGCTATGCTGGATCACCCGAAACCCCCTAAGTATCAATAACTCAATACCGTGAAGTTCATTCTTCAGTAGTTCAAAAGCTGCGATGGGTCCCAACAGCACTCCAGAGTAGCCTTCCTTCATGCAGTGGCTTGCTTGGCAGCCAGGCTGCTTCCGTCTTGTGGCTTCACAAGCTTCGCACATGGCCTCATGCTTGTGGCAAGGAAGGAGGAAGCTGGAAGGCGGGGTAGCAGCTCCTAAAATGATTCAGCCCAGAAGAGACCCATCACTTCTCCTAGAATAATGACCGTGCCTGGTCATGTGGCCCTGCTGAGAAATGTGGGGATGGGCACGGGAATTTAGTGAAGAGTAACCGTCCGGGGATGAGACGCATGTGATTTCAGTGGGTTGCCCAATAGTAAATGCTCTCCGGACTTTTGCATATGTCAGCACTGTTTTGTTTGGACAGTTTCTCTAATTCCCCACGTTCACATCACTGTTCACAAGTGATTTATCCCTCTATGTCTTGCGAGGCAAAAGAGAATGAAAGTTCATTACACCTGCCCCATATTCTCTAATTTCAGCCTGATAAAAACCCTTGGAGAGGTGGGTTTGATAATCGTTCTTGTACAAAAGGAAAAATTGAGGCTCAATAGCCCAAAATAACACAGCTAGTAAGTGGCAAACCTACCATTCACACTCAGTGGTAACAAGTCAGACTGTGCTCCCCTCCTTTTTTAATATAATTACAAGTATCTGATTGGGTAAATTGGGATATAGATGACTCAGGGGAAGGAGCCCTTTTATTTTTAAATTTTATTGTACTCACCTTATTCTTAAATGACTTTAAAACACCCTGTAGTTAGTCACCATATCTTCTGTATTTTCATTGTCAATGGCAATGCGTGGCACACAGGCTCTTAATGAATGTTGAGTGTACTGGATTTATAGGCAATATTTATTTATTCATTGGATTTAAAGACAGCAGTCCTCCCCTTCACAACAATAGATAACTAACGCCTTTTTAGTGATGGGAGCTGAGATTAGTGGGAAGCTGTGCGGAGGGCGAGGCCTTTCTGATACCAGCATGATATTTAATTGTTGAAAATGTATAATTGGATGCTCATTTGAAGATTCTGTGGAATGATGGGTGGACCTGCCTGGTAACAGAGTCTCTAAGCTGCTGGGACCCAGGTGTAGGTGCCAGGCAGTGTGCATTCGCTTTAGAAGCATCTGGTGCTGAGTATTTGGATCTGAAGTATCCCTTGCCTGTTTTCCATAACGTTTTCCCTTTGGAGCTTATACATACTGCTATTTATAAAAGCGTGGGTGCTTGAGTTACCAGAGGGCATCGGCATGACTGTGACACGCTGTGAATCTGAGTTCTTCCCTTTTACAGGATCTGCACAATTTAGAGCTAATGATTGGGATTGCTTCTGCGGGCATCGCCGTGTACCGAAAATATATTTGCACAAGTTTCTATCCTTGGTAAGTGCAAACCAGTTCTAATTATTTTTCTGAATCATGCTTTAAAAATATGCCAAACAAAAGAAATGTTATGTCTAATTTTAAACTTTTATTTCTGAAGGAGGGGTAGAGACTTTACCCTAGGTTTTTACCTCTGACCTCTGGGAGGCTTGACCCAGATTCAGTACTTGGGACCAGTAGTTGGGTTTTCACCGGCATCCTCTTCCCCCAGTCACCCTATTGTTTGGGATACTCTTTAGAAACATGGATAAACTGGTACAAGCCCTGGGCAGCACATTGGCCAGAATTCAGAGAACTTCCTCTGGGCAGGAATTGTATTGTCAGTGTGGTTCCTCAGTTAGTAGTTGGCCCTTTACCAAGTTCAGACTTGAATCCTCCCATGACCCTCTGAAGAAGGCAGTGCTCTCCACGGACTTCTGAGCTCCACGCATTCCTAGTTGCATGATCTTGAGCATTTAGGTGAGGTCTCTGAGCCTCAGTTTTGCTTTCCGAAAATGGGCGTAATCATGGATTTCAGGACTGTTCCAAGACTTAATTGAGGGACTGCTAGTAAAGCTTTTAGTAGGGGACTTGTGTATAAAAATGCTGTCTGTGGGAGCTCTAATCGTGTCCTTATGCAAATAATAGAGGAGCTGTTGACACGCAGCCACAAAGTACCAGAGCTGGGATGTAGATCCAGGTCTGTCTGTCCTCCTGCTTCCTGTCCTCCTGCTGCTGCTCCACGCTGCCCTCAGCCGTTCTCCCCAGGCCCACGCAAGCTCAGGCCAAGCTGCAACATCACAAAAGCAGCTGACCACAAAGAGAGCACATTGCCCATGGTTCTTGTTCTTTAAAAGTTACGTCATAATCCAACGGCCCTTATGTGATCCTCAGCTTCAGTCAGCTCCTTGGTATCTGGCTGAGGCAACGAGCTGCCATCATTTCTACCCTGAGGTAAATTCTCGGAAGCTAGGAGCCCGCCTTCCTCGTGGTCACAGAGTAGAGGACACACATGGAGAGGTGTCAGCTGCCACCCATCTGATCCCCATGTGCCTTTTGTGTGTTTAATTTTTTTGCAGGGTGAACATTCTGAAAATTTCTTTCAAAAGGAAAAAGTTCTTTATACATCAGCGACAAAAACAGGTGAGTTATGTCTGTGCTTGCTTTGTTTCTTGAGGTTTGAGCCACCTCAGCCAGTAGCTCTACGGCAGGTGAAGGCAGCTGGCCGTCTGTTGGGGGAGAAAGAGCTTGGCGTGTGGTGGATGGAAAATGGGAGTCGGAATCCAGAGTTCCCATAGAATTCCCTGTGCTTCTCTGGTTGGAGATGTAACTTGCTTGGGAGTCAGTGAGATGGGTTTGGATCATCGCTCCTCCACCTCCACTGACCAGCTGGGCAGGTCCCTTAACCTCCCTTAGCCCAAGCTGTCTTGTTCCAGGAATGCAGTAGGACCTGCCTCTCAGGGAATCAAGAACATTAAACGAAAGAGCGTTGGTCAGAGCACCTGGCATGAGCCCACACAGAGTAGCAATGAATGTCAATAAGATGAGTTCCTTCCCTTGATGTATTTAATGTACACAGGAGGGGCACCTGGGTGGCTCAGTTGGCTAAGCGTCTAACTTTGGCTCAGGTCATGATCTTGGGGTCCTTGGATCGAGCCCTGTGTCAGGCTCTGTGCTCAGCGGGGAGTCTGCTCCTTCGTCCCTCTACCCCTCCTCCTGCTTGTGTGTATGCTCACTCTCAGTCTCTCAAATAAATAAAATCTTTAAAAAAATAAAATGCACAGTCGTCTTCGCATATGTCTCCTAAGAGGTGACCACCCTTCTCCAGATGACTCTGGATAGAGAAGAAGACTCAAAGTTTTCGAAACTGAGGCTCCCACAGTTTTCTGAATTTGAATCAGAGACACCTGCTCTTTCCACGATACCACACTCTGTCCTGTTATACTCTATATTTTTTTTTTTTTTTTTTAAATTTTTTTTTTTATTTATTTATGATAGTCACACAGAGAGAGAGAGAGAGAGGCAGAGACACAGGCAGAGGGAGAAGCAGGCTCCACGCACCGGGAGCCCGACGTGGGATTTGATCCCGGGTCTCCAGGATCGCGCCCTGGGCCAGAGGCAGGCGCCAAACCGCTGCGCCACCCAGGGATCCCTCTATATTTTTTTTTACTCATCGTCGTTATGTTCATTTTCCAGGGTTTCAGAGATAATATGTACTTAAAATATCTCCATATAGCAGTGAATCCTTGGAAATGAGGAAACTAATGCTCAAAGCAAACTAGAACTAGAATCTGGGTCTCCTCTGACCCCCACCCCATTGCAAGATTGAAAGTGGCCCCAAAATGCAGAAGGTGGTAATTTAATTTGAAAAAAAAAAAAACTTAGATAGTTGAAGATCAAGGAAATCATTAAAATGAAAAATATGTGAGCACTTGATTTAACTCCGTGCTCGGGGGACAAATAGAGAAATCCACAGGCTTATAAAATATCAAGTTGCAGAGAAATGGAAGAGTGTTTCTTCAGGAGAGATTTTCCCAGAGCTAAATTTTAAAAGATGTATCACACAAGCCTTTTTCTGGTTGCTCCAAATATATCCAACCTAGGAATGTAAGCACATTCAAAATCAGAGTCTTCATGAAGGATCACAAATGATGGTAAAGTCAGGTCATCTTTACCACATTAATAAGATGGTTAACAGATCCTGTTCCTGAATATTCCTGTAACGTTGATTTATGGCCTCGGGCATTTTGAAGCTGGTTTTCTGCTCTCTGTTGCACCTTACCTGGTGTGGACACAGAACACCTGTGAGCCTCTGCTCCTTCACCTGTGGAGATGAAATCTCTACTCTGTTTTTATCCCCCAGACTGAATCCAGGGAACATATCGTGGCCTTCAACATGTTAAATTACCGATCTTGCAAAAACTTGTGGAAATCCTGTGTCGAGCATCATACATTCTTTCAGGCAAAGAAGCTACTACCTCAAGAAAAGAATGTCCTGTCTCAGTACTGGACTATGGGCTCTAGGAACCTGAAAAAGTGAGTATTCTTAAGTATCCACAGTAGGCTGAGATGTAAATATGTCCTGGTCACTGCCAGGTAGTGAACATCCTCGGGGGAAGGGGTTGCCATCATCCAGGGACCCCAGGCACTGGAGCTGGAGCTGCACGGCTGAAAGTGTCTCCAGGGACAGCAGGGTCTCCTTCCACGAGGACTCAGGTACTGCTCGTGTTCTCATCCTTCCTTTCGGCCTCCACAACTCTGTTGCCCGGGCAGCGCCCAGGCAGCCAGAATTACAACTGCTCCCACTCCATGTCCCTGTAAGGGAAGCACGTGGCAGTGACTCTGAGGGTTGTCGTGGTACTAAGACAGGCTCTCCCACAGAATGTTAATTCGATACAGTGCTCCCGAATAGTGAATGAGCAGAGATGAAGTTTCCCAGAGTCAAGTGGCGCTGGGACATAATACATATAACAGTCACAAAATAACAGCAATAACGAAAACTGGCAATTGTTTCCTTTGTACCATGCACATACTTAATTAAATTTAAATCTTATAACAATCCCATGTGTACTAGTATTTACAGGAGTGATACTCAGAATATTTCATGAGCAGTGCAGCGAAAGAAACTATTCTTATAAAATTTTACCTTTAGATTAAAGTGGATTTCCTAAACTAATCCAGTTTGTATTTTTGTGTATTTATTCTAAGACTGCCACCTTTTTTTTATATATATATTTTATTTATTCATGAGAGACAGAGGGGCAGAGACATAGGCAGAGGCAGAAACGGGCTCCCTGCAGGGAGCCCAATGTGGGACTCGATCCCAGGACTCTGGGATCAGGGCCTGAGCCAAAGGCAGATGCTCAACCACTGAGCCACCCAGGTGCCCCCTAAGACTGCCTTTCTAAGTAAAGATACAACAGAAATTATCAAGTTAATTGTAAACTGTTTGTTGACTTGAAAAATTGTTTTCATAATTTTCTGTTGTTGATGTGGCTGTTACTAATGAAACAATGCCCCCTGTCTGAACCAGTATCTCCTACGTGCCACTGTATCAGACTATTCCAGTGACTTTCCCATTATGTTGATAATCATTAGGTAGCTTTTTATAGACTCAATTAGTTTTTCTGTTAGCATCAGTGATAGTACTTATGGTGCTAAGTGCTCTCTCTCAGCTTCTGATGAACCAAGAACAAATATATTTTCAAAGTTTCTAGCTCCTATAATATCATCTAGTATTTTATACATTCAGTAGCCCTTCCTGAACATGTCACAGACATAATTTATTGGAATATAGTATTCACTTTAGTTGGATCTGAGCCTTCGGGCCAGCTGACAGGATTGAATTGGGAGCAGTTGAAAACATGGACTTTGCTAAGAAAACTGAGTTCAAATCCTACTACCTGCATCACTTTTAGTTTGAATTTGTTTGAATTTTTTCTTTTTTTTTTTAAAGATTTTATTTATTTATTCATGAGAGATACAGAGAGAGACATAGAGGGAGAAGCAGACCCCATGCAGGGAGTCTGATAATGGGACTCGATCCCAGGACTCCAGGATTATACCTGGGCTGAAGGCAGATGCCCACTGCTGAGCCACCCAGGCGTCCCAAATTTCCTCATTTCTGTAACATACAGCCAACACAGAGTTAGAGGTGAGGTGGGCAGGTTCTGTTTATCCATTATGGCAAAATAAACTACCCCTATTTTCATATGATAGAACAAGCCTCTTGGGGCTCCTGGGTGGCTCAGTTGGTTAGGCGTCTGCCTCGGGTCATGATCTCAGGGTCATGGGATTGTGTCCCACATGGGGCCCCACGCACTCAGCAAAGAGTCTCCTTGTCCTCTCCCTCTGCTCCTCCCCTGCGCACACACACGCTCTCTTTCTCTCTCTCAAATAAATAACATCTTTTAAAAACAAAAAAAAAAACAACCATCTTTCTGTTCTATCTTGAGATTTTGTGAATTGAGAAATTGAGAAGAGCTTGGCCAGCCACCTCTTTTGCTCCATGTAGCATAGACCAGGGTTTCTCAGCGTCAAGCAGCGGGTGGCTGGGCTGGGCTGGGCTGGGCTGTAGGTCCAAGATAACATGGCTCCCATGCTTGATGGAATGATTGGAAGGCTGGATTCACTTGGACCCCCCACTTCTCTCTGCTCTCAGGGCCTCTTCATGGGCATTCTCCAGCAGGGTCATTTGATGTCTTGTGCAGAAATTCAGGCTCCAAGGGCCTAAGGCAGAAGCAGCCAGTCATCATCAAGGCCAGGACCAGAACTGGCACAGCTACTCTTGGTCAGAGCAGTCACAGGCCAGCCAACATTCAAGAGTCCAAGAACTTGAGCTATTTTTAATCTGCCGTTGGGGGTCATTTGGGATATCGGTGGTTGGGGGGCATGGATCAGCAGCAGTTCTTTACTATTAAGACCAACTTCATTGTTTGCAAATTTCAGCCTCACTGTGTCCATTTCATAGATGAGAAAATTGAGGCTTAGTTTACATGATTTGCCCAACCCTAGAGCTACACATACAAATTTGCATATGGGGCCTCCTGATAGAGGTTCCACATAAAAGGAACTTGATCAGAATTTTGCAAACTTAAGAGACATTGGGACTCCTCTCCGCCCCAAAGAGGATCTATTAATAATCTGTGACACATGGGCAGCCCGGGTGGCTCAGTGGTTCAGCGCCACCTTTGGCCCAGGGCATGATCCTAGAGACCCGGGATTGGGTCCCACACCGAGCTCCCTGCATGGAGCCTGCTTTTCCCTCTGCCTGTGTCTCTGCCTCTCTCTCTGTGTGTCTCATGAATAAATAAAATATTAAAAAAAATAATAATCCGTGACACATACTGTGGGGAACTATGACCTTAAACTTGTGAGTCCTCTCACGTGCTCCCCTTGTTCTGAGACAGTGTTCTCAATCAGTGCTAATTTGCTTTCTGATGTGGATTCTCTCAGTGATGCTGCAGTGAGCATTTTGAGCAGGGTGACAACGGAGATTTGTTACTGTAAATTAGCACATTGATATTCTAGGGGGACTTTTGTGTTCTTCTGGGGTCTTAAGACTTTGTTTAAAATTTAGGAATGTCAACTGAGTTTCCTTTAAACTGACTTCAAATGCCATCCTTTCAAGTAGTTCATTCCTTGAGGGGTCTCATTAGATAAGATTTAAATTCTGTAGGTGTCAATAAAACATGAAAGTCAGTTTCAGGGAGGCCCGTTCATGTAGCACGTGGCATGGAACTCTGCTGCCGAAGCATGTTCTCGGGCCTTCTTTCAAAGAGTTCTGTGATTTAGGGCTCATGGCTTCTGCCAGCTAGGATGGCAAAGAGCACCTTCCTGGAAGGATGGTTCATGTTTGTATTCAGGCCATTGTGAGCGAAGCGAACATTCCTTGACATTATGCGAACTGTGTCATCCTTGAAAATTCCTCCTCATCTCGTGGAAAGGTTTGGTTATATCCTGAAAGCAGCTGTATTGCTTGCAGTAGTAAGGCCCAAGAAAATATTTTCACCAGAAGAGAAGAAACAACAAGAAAAAGCCAGGACAAAAAGGAACCACTTGTGATCTGTGTACCTCTACTCCTTGTAACCTTGGCTGGTGTCATCCAGGTGCTAACCAGCCCTTCATCAGAAAGGGAGCATGGATAGACTGTTTATTATATGCTGTAATTTCTTGTTGAACACGTCTGTCCATGTAGAAAGTGAACCTTGCGTCTGGTTTTTCAGGTCTGTAAATAACCAGTATTGTAAAAAGGTGATTGGAGGGATGGTGTGGAACCCAGCCATGCAGAGATCATTATCAGTGGAGCACTTAGAAACCAAGAGCCTGCCATCTCGATCCCCTCCCATCACTCCCAACTGGTACGTCCTCTTTTTTTTTTTTTTTTTTGTATTACCCACCACTAAACACTTTATGTCTCTTAAAAATTCAGCTTTGTAAGTTTTCCCAATATAGATGCGGCCTGTAGTCGGAGTTTATGTTTGCATGCTTGGCTGTCACAGAACTAACAGTTGGCTGTTTTTGTGAAACATGCAAGCCTAGCTGAACATTTTCCTTAGTGTGTAATGCTGGGATGTCCTTTTTTAAAAACTTGCCTGGTCTGAATTTGAGAACTACAGCCTACTGAAAAAAACACCCCTCTTGGAATTAAGGGACTCACTGGCAGATTAACGTTCCGGGAAACCCTGTGATAAGGAAGCCCGCTGAGATTTATTTAAGCTGTTTTTCCATTAACATCACACAAAATGAACTTGGGGAAAACGTGGTAAAGGTATACGGTGTAGGATGCGTGGCCCTCAGCAACAGGAGTAGCAAATACACATGGGGAAGTAGCCTGCCAGCATTTAACATGATGGCTTAACAGGAAGGAAGTTGCACTTGGCGAAGTGCGAAGGACGTGTGTGGCTGCATCACCCAGACTCCGATTTTGGCTCTTTTGTTAATTCACAAGTTTCTTTACCTCTCTGGTCTCAGTATTCCCATCTGTCAGAGGGTTCAAACAATCACCACAAATGACAGTGTACAAGTGCTTTGTAAGTGATTTTTTTTAAAAAAATGAGGTGGAATTATTATCATTATTTTATTAGAATGGTTCTTCAGAGACATTGGATCAGTTTTGTGAACGTGTCCAAAATGGCCAGGCACTGTCAGCAGGAGGGAAACTAAGCCAGAAACATTGCCCCAGCTCCACGCAGGACTAGAGACCGTGGCTTTGTATTCATTTCACTGAAGACCCAGGTGGACCTGTAAATTATCAAGGAGGGATCTAGGAGGACTGAGGGAGATTCTCTTTCTTTTTTCTCTAACTTAAAACCCTTTTAATTTGTATAATAATTTATGTAAATGAAAATGGACAGTATGTCTTAGAAATCAGAAGAATTCTAAAAGAATCCATGGAATTCAGTAAATTTGATAAAAGCAGTAAGAATGTTTGAACATTCATCATTCTTTAGGGCGCTGAATAGTAATGACTGAGAAAGTCTAAGGAAAATTATACAAAATGAGCAGACACAAAAGGGGTTCTGAAAAGAACAATTATTCGTTATTATTGCCTCAATAGGTATAATCAATGATGATAGTGTTTTTGAGTACTTATTACTAACTCATCCTCACAGCAATTGTATGAGGATATAGTATTATTATTTCCATTTAACTGATGAGTAAATTGAGGCACAGAGAAATAATATAAGTAATCTAAGGTTAGATCTGGGATTTGAGTTCAGTATCACTGGGTCAGAGTTCATATTCTCTTGTTTTTTTTTTTATTCAATTGATTAACATACAGTGTATTACTAGTTTCAGAGGTAGAGGTCAGTAATTCATCAGTCTTATACAACCCCCAGTGCTCATCATATCCCATGCCCTGCTTAATGTAGGACCAAGGGAGATCCTAACAGGCACAAATGGAGCTACTGTGCAAGACGGCTGGGTGAGGACCCTGCCCTGGGGCCAAATGCTCTAGGCAGAGATGCTGATGGTATTTAGTGTCAGAAATCTTAACATGACAACGTAGATTTGTGTCCTGGTTTCCCAAGATTTAGGCACTTCGTTCTAAAACGGCAAGTTTATTCTGTAAAGTAGCAGCTTAATTTGTCTGAAAGCCTCCGAGGCAGCGATGCCAGGGCCCCAGAGCAGAGGCCCAGGACAGCATCCAGGAGAACAGCGGGCTTTGATGTCGCCACACCCGTGGCCTGGAGCTCCTACTACTATTTATAGGTCCCCTCCTGAGGAGTCACAAGCCTTTCTCCCCTACTCTGGACACAGTATTATTGATTATCTGGGCCCCAAGGGAATAGGAATAGTGGAGGCCCTGACGGTGTCCAGGAGAAATGGCTAAGGAAGAAGGAGGTAGAAACACAGAGAAAAATAGAAGGCGGCTCAGCAGCCTGGTGTCACCCACTACAGGAGCTGATGTCCGGGGAACATCGCTTCATTTGGTTCACTCTCAGGAGCAGGTAGGTACAGCTGAGGCCCAGAGAGGTGCTGTGACTTGCCTGAAGCCACACAGCTGCTGCTGCTATCAGGGGAACGGGATGGTGCTGCCGTGCCCATCTCATAGGGCATAGAGGATATATTTTTAAAAGCAAACCTTTCTTCTTGGGTTAAGTGAAATTCACATGAAGGGATACAATTGAAGTAAGGTTTCGGTTTTGCCAAAAACTAACCTTTTGCTTCTAAACCCTTTAGTTAATACTGGTGTTTGAATGAATCTGGAGAACAGATCAGTAGTCAGTACAGCCTATTATTTTGTGCATTGAGAGCTTGAGTCCTCCCAGAAGAATAACCCACCCTAAATCAACACTCCCCACTTCCCAAAGGGCATAAATTAGTCTCCTCTGCCTATTTATATGGCTGAGGCTTCCTTTCTGGAGGCTACACTGCAGGGCTGAGAGTATCGAGGATTCGTGTGGCCCTTGGTGGATTGCAGTGTAGTAACGGGTTAACCGGTTCTTCATTTCCAACAGCGTCTGCCAAGGCATCCTTAGAAAGGTCAGGGCACAAAGTTAGATCCCGATGCCTGATAAAGTTTTTCAGTGGAATTTGCTTTCAACACTTCCCACTCGACCTTTTCCCCACACAGGCGAAGTCCTCGGCTCCGGCACGAAATCCGAAAGCCACGGCACTCTTCTGCAGATAACCTTGCGAACGAGATGACCTACATTACCGAAACCGAAGATGTGTTTTACACGTACAAGGGCTCCCTGTCCCCAAAAGACAGCGAATCCGAGGTTTCTCAGAACCGAAGCCCGCACCGAGAGTAAGAAACCTGTTCTCTTCTTTGTATCTGCTTGTGGTGGCTGTTGAGGAATTTGCCCAGGCCCAGAGAGAGCCGTTTAAGTCAAGAGCTGGAGCCTGCAGCCAGCTCCCTAGGCTGCTCTGTGCCAGGATGGCAGCATAAATCAGACTGTCCCTTCTGCCACAGGAGGACAAGCTGTGTGCCTGGGGTCTCGAGCTCGCACTTCTTTTTTGTATGACAAAGACCTACCGTCCACGTACATGTTAGCTTTCTTAAATAAGTTTCCAGTTGATGAGCAAAGCCCAGTTTAAATCAGTTCACATTCCAGAAGTATAGTTATGTTAACCTGAATAGTAATATTTCTCTAGATTGTCAGAGTTTTACCCCTGCAAGATTTCTGGATTGCTGGAAATATGCTTACGTGGACCCATCCACAGAAAGCCTTCTCAGATCCACAGTAGGCACTCAGGGTGTTGGGTGGGGAGAGAGGGTTGTTTTTTAATGAATTGTTAGTGTAAAGCAAAAACGTGCATAGAACGTCTCCTGAATTTCTGTTAAGTTTTTTGTCAGTGGTTCACGTTAAATTCTTGTATGTCCCCGCTTTGCTTTTTTTAAATGTGACAAACTCCCTTCATATCTCAAGGCCAGGAAAAACTCTCTCTCCAAAAGTACTGGCTTGAGTTCTTTTATTATTCAGTAGCTATATCGAATTCACGAAGTTTCCTTTTTGTCTTGATTGCCAGGGAACTGAGAGCTCCAAGTTAAGGGTCAGTTGCATGGACTTCCCTTAGTACAGGTTTCTGGTGTAGTCCCTACTCTTCTTTGTCTTATTCATGGGTCTTGTTTTTTTTTCCCCCTCTTAATGAATTCACAATTCTTCTGTATCCATACATTTTAGAGTAAGCTATCCTGAATCAAATTTTTGAAGTGGACAAGCCCTAATCATAAATAAAATGAAATTTTAAGCTGAAGAATGAGAGGACTGGATCAACCATTAGGGAGTCAGCCAGAGGCACTGGGTATTGATTCTGTTAGGGCCCAAACTATACCTGATATATAGAAACCTAACACCTCCCTTCACAGCGTGGGATTAGGGAGAGGGCACTTCAATTAATCTGTCAATTTTTACCACTCTAGCTGCTAGGCTTAAAGCACTAAATGCGTCCTGAGTGTATTCTAGACATCACAGGTGAATTGCAAATCTTCCCACTTACAGTGTGAGGTTGTTACCTCTCTGTTGTCTCTGACCGCAGCAAACATGGTTTCCAGCTTATCTGTGTTCTTAACACCTCTGGGTAAATAATCCTCTGGTCACTCTTTCCTTGTGACCTGAGCTCAGATGATGCTTTTGTTGAAATGATCACTATCTCTTGCCTTAACTTGCAGCCCCATTGAAGTGACAGTGTGGAAGGGCGTGAGTTCCTTTGTGTGACACCATGGTTTTGCAGATCTAGATCTACCGGGCAGGAAAGGCAGGCAGGCAGGCATGACCTGAGCCCCTTGGAATCGGAGGTGGGGTCCTGTGGCTTTGGGGAAAGGAGAAAGAGGGTTTAGGAAATGGACTGGGGGTTCTGGGAAGCTCTGTCACACTGTCCCTGCCAGCCCTCCCTCTTGTGGCTTGCAATCCCATAATGGAGCTGTGGACCATCTAGACTTCCACGGACCAATGCAGTAGCCAGTAGGTACCTGCGGGTGTTCGGATTTAAGTTACTTAACAGTTATATCCTGTTCCTCAGTCATATAAGCCTCCTTTCAGGGGCTCAAGAACACCACATGTAGGTAGTGACTACAATACTGGCCAGCACAGAGAGAGTCTCTTTCCATCGTCACAGAAAGTGCTGCTTGCAGTACTTGGTGCTGGGTAGAGAGAGATGGATTCTTCCTGGCGGATCGTGGATGTTGTCAAGGGTTCCGTGCATTCTGAGTGCAGCAGCACACCTCATACACCCTATGCTGCTCACAGAGGGAACATCAAGGCAAATTAGACAAGTCTTTGCCTTAAGGGGCCTCTAGGCCAGCCAAGCAAATAGCACATTGTCAGCCTCTATCGCTGCATTGTCTGCCACTTAGTTACAAGCAACGAGTTTGGGGAACGGTCTGAGAGTTCTGAGAAGCCCAATTACGTGTCCCACGTCAGATTTTCTTGCTGTGGTCTGCACTGTGCAGCAGCCAGACCTTCACGGTCCAACACAGAAGCCACCAGTCATGTAGGGCTATTTAAATTCATATTCAGGAGCTCCTGGGTGGCTCATTTGGTTACGCTGCCAACCCTTCATGGCAGCCCAAGTCTCCATCTCAGGGTAGTGAGTCCACCCCAGAGTTGGGCTCCGTGCTGAGCGTGGAGCCTACTTACAAAAAGAAAAAAAAGAAAAGAAAAAAATTTACATTCATTGAAGTTAGTTTGAAAATTCACTTCCTTAAATTCCGTTTGATTCAAGTAATCTCAGGCCCCGTGCACCCCTACGCATTGCACATCAGTTCTTTCTGAAACTCCTCCATGAGACCTTGTAAGATGCGTCATCCTGGGGCCCTTTTTATTTTGCAGCTAAATGTTAAAAGTAGCAAATAAAAGTGATTGATTCAGAAGCAGCCTTCGTTGCGGCAGCTTCGCCAGGTGCGCACCAGTAGACTCCTCACGGGGTCAGGTTAGCAGCCATGGGTTGCAAGTAGGGTGAGCAGTTGAAAATGGCAGCCCTTACCACCTCGGGGGGCAGGGGGGGTACCCCTTCCTGCTGGCAGGAAGCTGCGGCCTGCTGGGTCCTCAGGCAGCTGCCACCCCCTTCCCCTGAGAGTCTGGGGGCCCTCCCCTGCCCAAGGCAAGCAGGAAAGGCTGGTCTGTGCCCGGTGTGTGTGTGGGGGGAAGCCAAGGTAGTTACCTGAGTATTTATTTGCAAGGCATTTAAGAAACGTCTGGCATGTTTTATGCAGCCCGGTTGTGCAAAGAGGCGAAAAGAAGCATTCTGTCAGAGAAGTCAGATGAATAATACCAGACAGTCCGGAGGTTCCTTGTAGAAAGGAGAATTAAGTGTAACGTTCTGTACCCATGTAAACAAGAAGAAGAAAGAGAAAGGAAGAAAAAGAGCAGATAGACTTTGGCTCTGAACCCAGAGCGGCACGGCTCGGGCTCTCTGAACATTATCTTAGCGGGTGAGTCACCCTCCGGCTTGTTCCGTATTTATAGCAGCACAGCAAAGTTTATGATTATAGTTATGAATCCTTGGCAGTTTGCTTTGTGCCCGAGTCAGCTGCACTCTTGTTACTCCCAGGGCTCGTTCAGCCCGTCCGGGGCCCTTGGCTTGCTTCAGAGCGAAGGCCGAACTCTACAGAAAAGGAAGTTTCCATCATGGCAAAAAAATAAAATAAAAATTCAATCCCATCACTCCCCACCACCCAGAAAACGTGGCGGGGGAGGAGGAGGTTCCCTAAAGGGAAAGCGACTTTGCACAGCAGAGATTGGAGGAAACCCCACTTGGGCGCAGATGAGGGCTGTATTCCAAGAACTTTTCGGTGGGCGCTTCTTCACACTTGTCCCGATGGGTCCTCCGAGGGAGCGGGGCTTCGTGTCGCAATGCCCCGATGTTTGCTTGCCCCTTTCTTTAGAGCCTGCCTTGTTCCAGAGGACACGGGGCAGCTGTCACTTTTTATCTCAAAACTGTGCACGCAACGGTGTGAATGCACTTAATGCTACTGAACTGTGCACTGAAGAAAGGTTAGGATGGTACATTTTATACTGTGTGCGTTTAACCACTGCTAAAAGCCTCTAAAAAGAACTTCCATGCCTTGAGAGGGACTTTGGGAATGCCCTCGGCAGCCCCGGCGGCTGTGCAGGAACGCCCTGGGCCCTGTCACCTGTCACCTGTCACCCGGGCGCCCCGCTGGCAACAGGGAGCTCTCCTGCGGTGTGGCAGCCTCTTCTGGGCCTCAACTGCCCGGTTTTTCCAGCGCAGGAAGCGTTGTCCTTGACGCTGACCCAGCACGAGCACTGCCGTCCCCAGACCCCTGCCTGGAGCTTCTAGAACAACACAAGTAGCTTCCGTTTCTAATTCTCCCTGGCGACCCCGTCTGCTCTCCCTTAAATGAATTCCAGCTCCATCAGCCACTGTCCGCCTTCCAGCCTGCTAGTCACTGTTCTCTGAGTGCACCTCCGTCCCGTACCAGGGGGTGACACCCGGATTTGGACACGGTGATGGGACCCGTGTACATAAGGGTCTCTGTCGGAGGAGGCCAGCCAGCGACAGGGTTGAGCCATTCTGTGTCCATGATCCCTGTACCTCGCCTGTCCTCCACCAGGCATCTGTCATTTATTTTGCAGCTGAATGTTACAAGCAGCAAATAATGGTGATTCAAAGGCAGCCTTCCCTGTGGCGGCTTCACCAGGTGCACCAGTAGGCGTCTTTCACGGCGTCAGGTTGGCGGTCACAGGTTGCAAGTGGGGTGAACAATTGAAAAATAGCGGCCCCTACCACGTTGATCTGGGGGACCCCTTCCTGCTGGGACGTATGACCGATACTTTTTTTTTTAGATTTTATTTATTCATGAGAGACCCAGAGAGAAAGACAGAGACACAGGCAGAGGGAGAAGCAGGCTCTGTGCAAGGGAGCCCAATGTGGGATTTGATCCTGGGTCTCCAGGATCACACCCTGGGCCAAAGGCAGGTGCTAAACCACTGAGCCACCCAGGGATCCCATATGACTGATACTTTAAACCCCAGGGCCCCCGTCTCCACCTGTCATCTCTCTGTCCTTACCTGTGGCTCCTCCTGACCTTGGCGCGGGGGGCCACGTTTCGCTACCACCTGTTTGCGCCCATATCAGGAGCTTCAGTCGTCCTCGACTCCCTTTTCTTTGCCCTTCCTCAGCAAGGCTCTCACCTTGGTAATCTTCCTCCCAGACCTGCCTTGAATCGGACCCCTGCCCCATGCCACCACACTGCCCACGGTCAGCCACCGTCATCTGTCACAGGATTGTCGCGACAGTGCCCCATTAGTGTCCTCCTGTCTTGGGTTTCTCCTCCTTCATAAGCTGACGGGCTTCTCTTTGTGAAATCTGTGCCCCCGCACATCACCGCCCCCCACCCCCGCCCCATGCTTTTTCAGAGTTTCATGCCTCTGCACGTGCTGCTGTTTTGTCTTTTTTGTTCTTAGTAATCTGCCTCAACCACCTTCTCCTTCCCTCTTCCCTATACCTCTTAAGACTCCTGCTGGTGCGTCTTTCAAAGGCCGGGTCCAGTGCCCCCCTCCTCTGTGAAGGCTCTCCTGGCTCCCTGCTCTTCCCCAGACGTCTGAGTGTCTCAGTTACAGCATGAGGATTTTATTCGATTGAGCTCTTTGAGGGCAAGGATAGTGCCCTGTTCACCTTTCCTTCCCCCAGACCTGGCATGATGCCTAGCATTTGGTATATATTCAGTGAGTACTTGCTATGGTTGGACAGACAGATGGACAGATGGTCACAGGGCAAACTCCTGCGTCTTCACAGTGGGACGCCCCGTCTGCCGCCTCCATGCTAGGTACCCATAGCCTATGAACAGCATCACCCGGGATTTATATGCCACGAGGAGAGCAAACAGATCTACTTTGATGCTGTCATCGGTGAGCAGAGCCATGCGGTGGGTGCTGCTGCAGGGCACATGGCAGGAAACTCTTATCTGACAACTAAAGCATGAATTGACAGAAGTGTAACAAGTGCTCTCTTGCTGTTGAGATGTCTTAATATCTGAGGGGCAGCCTGGGGTGCGGGATGAATGCATACCCCATGATTCCGTTAGTGAGGAAATGGAGAGCCCAGAAAGCAACCCATGTGCACCATACCCCTTGAGCCACTTCAGCAACTTCGTGCATTTTGATCTTGGGCTCTTGGCATTTATCACGTGAAGAATGTCTCCAAGTCATAAAAACCCACACTTGAAAAGAGTATTCTGTTTGTCATTCAGTGACCCTGATGTGAAGATAAGAATCCACATGAAAAATTTCTCCAGGAATCTCATTCAACACAAACATGGCATTGGGAGTGAGCCAGTGTCCCTTCTAGTCCCTCGTACTCCTGTTCTGGCCACAGCGCCAGGACATCAGCATCTCCTAAGAGCTCGCTGGAAATGTGAACCTCAGGGGGCACCTGGGTGGCTCAGCGGTTGAGCCTCTGCCTTCTGCTCAGGGTATGATCCCAAGTCTGGGGATTGGGTCCCACATCGGGCTCCCCGCAGGGAGCCTGCCTCTGCCTCTGCCCCTGCCCCTCTCTCTGCGTCTCTCATGCATAAATAAATAAAATCTTTAAAGAAAAAGAAATAAAAGAAATGTGAACCTCAGGCCCACCACAGGCCTGCTGAATCAGAGTCTGCATTTTAACAAGAGCCTCAGGGGACCTATAGGAATGTGCCACTCTCAGAAGCCCTGAGCTCGCGGGAGCGGAGAACTCTGTAGCCCACCTTTCCACCTCTGCTTCCAGGGGACCGAGTGAGTTCTGTACTCTTCTAGAGTAACTCGGCCAAGCCCAGATGCTTCAGCACCTTCATGCACTCAGCACCTGGCTTGAGCACTTGCCGCGTGCCTGGCTGTCATATGCACTAGGAGAAAAAGAGAAAGAGGAGGAAGGTCTGTTCCAACCTGAAGAAGCTCATAGGCTCGAGAGAGAAATGTGACACCAATGGCCCCTGTCCCATCACATCACACAGCACACGCCTCCTCCCCGGGCACCCGGTTATAGCCAGACACCCTCCGTGGAGCACTGCTCTGCTCCCTTTAACAGGCTTGAGGGTAGAGGTCATCGTCCTTTCGTAGGCTTTAGGGAAGTGTAGAGAAGCATCACGCAGGAGGCTTCCTTTCGTGGACAGTCCTGCCATTTATAACTTCTTTGGCTTTGCTTCTCTTCTGAGAAATGACTTCCGGCATGGCTTCTCTTCCTGATACCTGTCGATGGCACTTGCAGTTTTGAAGCATCTGCTTCCTCAGGGTGACTACTCCCTGGTCTGCCCATTGGTCTGTCCTTGCCCCTTTCTCCCCAGGGAGCTGGAAGTGGTCAGTCCCCCCCTGGCTGCTCTGGCTCCCAGACCTCAGTGACAGTCCCTCCTGAGTCCCCTGAGCACTCTGACAAGTGCTCCCTTCCTGCCTCGGGGACAGACCACTTCCCCGTTACTGGCTTTGTCACCCACACTGTCTTCTTGCTCCGGCTCACCCTACTCCTTTCCCTAGAACCCAGGTACCCCCGGCAGCTCCCCTCGTCCCTCATCCCCCCCTCACTAGCCCCTCACATTCTGCCCCAAGGAAGGAGGAAGCCCACTTGGTTTGGTCTCTTCACTCCTGGCATCCATCCAGCTGCCACGTTCTTGTTGCTTCTCGTTTGATGTCCTCCTCACCATCTGTCTGTCCAGCCTCCACGCTGAGCAGAACGTTACTGCAGCCTACAGGGAACGTCTGCACATAGCTGATCAGCCAAAAAAAAAAAAAATCGTCATATGTTTAATAAATTGCTCTCCAAAAGTAACCTCTCTATCCCTACTCAGAAAATAAGATTGGGCGCATAATGGCTTTGAACATACTATTTTTAGCACTGTGGGCTGCGTTAGATAGACCTGTTACATTTTATACTGGAAAGGAAAAATACTTCAAAACTTTATGTGATGTAAGCCATACATCCAAAATGTAGGAATTAAATATAATGACTATAAAATTAGAATTTTACTGAAATCAGTCTGTTCTCTTCTGCTTTGTCACCCTGCTCTTCTGCTTCCTTGTTGATACGCCCTTCACCCGTTCTGTGACTATCAGCCTCCAGAGTCTTCCAAACGTTTGCTAATAGTGTGTTTGCTATTCGCAACTTCATGTTAAAGGTTCAGCTCCACCCCTAGAACTGGAAATAGTGTTTCCTAAACCGGGTTTGGCCTGGTGTTGGTCTAGCAACTGTCAAGCAGTTGCCCCTCTTGCCACGAGGGGGTACTCTTAGCAACATTAAAACGGTGGAGTTACCCTACCTGGGGGTAATTTTTTGAATTTTTTTTAAAGCTTTAAGTAAATTAAATATTTGTTCCTTTTCACTCTGAAAACTTACCACTGGGAGATAGCTTTACTTAACAAATATCCTGTCTCTGAAATGCCTTCCCATCCGTTGCACCCCTTCCCTCGCCCAGCAACTGGAAAGCCATAAGGCCAAACTCTTCTCTAGCATGTTGCAGTGTAATCTCCACGCTGGTCTGTCACTGAATTTTTATATCCACATAAATTGAGATTGTGATTTATCGTGTGAATATGATACAGATTTTATATTTAGAGTGAGATAATTTGAACTTGCTAGGAAACCGAGAAGCCCCAATTTAATGAGAAATCCATGGAGAAGGGTTGGAGATAAAAATTTAATGAGGCAGCAGCAACCATCTTTTGCCTATTATGTGTCACTGAATGCCTTGTCTACTGACCTCAGTCATCTCCTGAGTCCATATGAGGTTAGAATGTGGCAGAGTCGGTAGAAGGTAAGGAAAACCCTATAGGCTGTAGCCATTTTAAGGCATCTTCTGCTAGGCTTGTGGTTCTGGAAGGGAGATAGTGTAGGTGTGTGTGATGCAGAGAAGTCGAGTGTCCTACACAGTGACAGCTGAGATGGTTAATCCCGTGGCCCTCTGTGGTGGAGAGGAGGGGGTCCCTAGGAACAGACTTGGCGTGGCCTGGAAGAGAGAGATGCTTGGGGACCCCAGTCCATCAGATTCTGTATGAGAAATGAGGGGAAAGCTGAGTGCCTTTGGGTGAGTCCCTTCGCCTCTCTAGATCACAGTTTCTTCATCTGTGAAATGGGATTTGGACCAGAGGACCTCAGAGGTGTGTTCAGTTCTGATAGTCTGTAATCCTCGAAGACAGCACCGTCTCATAGAACTTACCATGCTGATGAAAATTTTTCTATAAATGATGTGTCCGAAACAGGAGCCGCAAGCCGTCTGTGGCTCTTGAGCATTTTTGAAATGAGACTGATACAACCAAGGAACTTCCTGATGTTCATTTAAATTTAAATGGCCACATAGGACTAGGGGCTACCATATTGGACCCCGTGTGGGCTCTGAGACACGGGAGGACATAAATGAGAGGACGAGAAAGTATAATCTCGTTGTAGACAATTAATGGAGGTCACAGCAAGTAATGCAAACTAGGATTGATATAAATCTTGGATGTGGAACATTAGTCCTATTTGGGCGTGGGGGGGGTAGCCAAGAGTCCTACTGAAACAGAGCTAACAGCAGGAATGAAATGGAAGGTAAAAGCTTTCAGAAGGGATGGAGGCATGCGTCTGAGTGAGCTTCAGTAATTAAGCCACCAAAGTAGCTGGCACATTTCCCTGTCACCTTCAGAGCAGCTGGGAATGGAGCTGAGTTTTCAGCAGCTCCTGGATCCTCCCTGCCCTCCTGTTCCTTTTCCCCAAAATGAAAGGTGATGATATTTGGCCAGACCAGGGGAAGGGTGGCCAGTGGACCCTCATGTGTGCCAGAGCCCTGGGCTTGACCTTTGGAGCTCTTCTATGGTTGCAGGGATTCATGACAGCCCTGGGATGCCAGGCCCCAAAAGTCAGTAATGCTTGCTCTGCTAAAATGTCAATCCAGTTATTAAGATATCTCCTCCTTCCCCATAATGAAGGAGTATATCCGAGAACAATCCAGCACAAAGCTGCCTGACCCAGAAGTCATCCAGTTCTGTGTCTCCATCTTCAAATGCTCCAGGCTCCTGCTCACCAGAGGGCGTCGATCAGCAGTTCTTAGAGGACTTCCACAGGGTGACCAAAGGGGGCTCCACCGAGGACTCCAGCCAGTACTACTGTGACAAGGTGGGTGAGCTCGGGTCCTGTGGCACCTGAGCGGCCAGGCGACCACCCAGGCTTTCCTGTGCCGAGGTGCCTCATGGGCAACTTAAGTGGTTAGGACCAAGAGAAAATACCTCCTCACCACCCGTTGGAGAGAGAAGTAACATAATTAATCATTTTTGCAATGTTTTCCAGAATGATAATGGTGACGGCTACTTGGTTTTGATCCGCATCACACCAGATGAAGATGGAAAATTTGGATTTAATCTGAAGGTAAGTTGTGTGTCTTTTTAAGGGTGGCTTTTAAATTTCCATTAGGAGTGTGTTGCGTGCCTAAGTCTACATTAGGAAACTGGCTCAGCCCTCAGAACTGGGGAGGTTTTAAAGTGGCCGTAATGCTGCCTCACACCAAGGGCCTACTCTGTGTTTGGTACTTGCTGTGTACTTCCTTTTTTTTTTTTTTTTCTTAAAGATGTTATTTATTTATTTGAGCGAGAGAGGAGGCAGCAGCCAGCAGCAGAGGCAGAGGGAGAAGCAGACTCCCCGCTGAGCAGGGAGCCCAACGTGGGGCTCGGTCCCAGGACCCTGGGATCATGACCAGAGCCAAAGGCAGACGCTTAACCAGCTGAGCCACCCAGGCGCCCCGTGCTGTGTGCTTCTTTATGTCGCCTTACTGAGTGCTTATAATCGGTGAAGGTGGTATTTTTAAACCCGTTTTAGAAATATGTACTAGGGCTCAGAGATGGCACACAGTTGGCCAGAAGAGGGGTTTTTGAGGGAACCTGTTGGCATCACTAAAGCCGATGAGAGAGAGAAACAGCTCAAGTTGCAGGGCCATTTCCAGGGCCTTCACCTACATCTGCCTGCTTTGGCCCACAAGCCTCATCCTATCTGTTTCTGAAAATAAAGTTTTATTGGAACGTGGCCACACCCATTCATTTACAAATGGTCTGTGGCTCTCTTGGCACCCTGGTGGCAGAGGTCAGTAGTTGCACCAGAGCCCTCGCTCCCTTACCTAAAATGTTGGGTACCCTCAGGCCCTTTACAAAGTTAGAGCAGAATGAGGGCAGGTGGTCTTCGCTGCCACCACGGAGTCCCTGTGCTGTACCCAGCTCCCTGCTGGGAACCTGCCCTCAGGCATGTGACGACTTCCTCTATTCCTTTAGAATAGGGTAAAGTGGAATTTGAACCCTCCGTGTGTCAGCAGTATCTGCATGTCTTTGTTGCTATGAGCTATTCAAGTGTTTCTGTTTTTTTTTTTTTTAATTTAACATGTTTATAGGGAGGAGTGGATCAAAAGATGCCTCTTGTGGTATCAAGGATAAACCCAGAGTCACCTGTAAGTGAACATATTTCGTTCTCGCCTACGTTTGTTTTCTATTAAATCTAACGTTCCTATTTCTGTGTCCTGTTTCTCTGCCAGCAACAAAGGGGGTGTGTAAATGCATGCAGATAGATGGAAAGAAAGTGTGGAATCCATGTTTTTCCAGAACTTTGCTAGTCAGGGTAGCCCCTGCATCACCTGGGAACTCATTAGAAATGAGGAATCTCAGGCCCCACCCTAGACCTCCCAAACCAGAGTTTGCATTTTTAGCAAGATTCCTGAGTGGTTGGTGTGCACATTAACATTCAGAAGTACTCTCAAGAAAAGGAAACTGAGGCGCAGAGTATGTTGCTCTGCTCACTCTGTGCACGTGCACCCACCATCCCACCAGCAGCACCCTGCCTTCTGCACTCCGTCTAGGCCTCCTCAGGAGAGGATTTGCTTTTCTGGAGCAGATGAGCAGCCCAGAGTCACTCACTGCATCTCCTAAGGAGGAACTAGTTCGGGGGTTTTACTCATAAGTGGTCCTTCAGCACGTAGTTTGCTTTCTCCTACTGCTTGTGGCCCCTCAGGTCAGGAGGGCTTCCACTCCGACACTGTTCAGTGCACTCTTCTCTCCGTGCTGGCTTCTGCCTTTGGTGTTATTTATGCTGACAGAGGCTTTCTCCACCGCAAGATAGACAAACGCTCACGTTCGGCTGACAAGCCATTTTCCAGCAGCACATCGAGAAAACAAAAGAGCAGAAGCCTCGCGGTGACGACATTACAGTAATAGGTGAAGGTTGGCTCTCGTAGAGAAATGGCTTCGGTACGTTGCGTAGCTTTGTTCCGAAATGCCACATGACTTAGGTCGTGAGCAGCACTTCTTTAGACTCCTACAACCAGCGACCACGTCCACGTAGCAGCAGATGTAAAAATAATGGCACGGCCGCCCCCGAGGGAGACGAGAACCCGGACCTGGTCTCAGGTGTCTGGGCTCCGCGAGCGCCCGGTCCTGCCCTTGACGATTGTGTTATGGTAACCGAAGAAACTCGCTCTTCCTCTCCACCCAGGCGGACACCTGCATTCCTAAGCTGAACGAAGGGGATCAAATCGTCTTAATCAATGGCCGGGACATCTCAGAGCACACCCATGACCAGGTGGTGATGTTCATCAAAGCCAGCCGGGAGTCCCACACGCGGGAGCTGGCCCTGGTGATCCGGAGGAAAGGTAACAGCCACCGCAGGGGAGGAGCCACGGGGCCTCAGGGAAGCAGGGCCCTCTCTGGCCCATTCCGTGGTTTTGAAAATGTTGAGCTCGTAGCCAGCACTGGAAAATGGAGACCTTTCGCCTGACAACCAGGATGTGGGACTTCTCACTTGAAAAATGTGAAGATGCGCCCACGCGGGGCCCAGCCCCTCAGGGCCAGTGCTCTGGAGGTAGGCAGCACCTACCCACCCCCTCTAGCCGGGACACGAGCCCTGATTCCTCGCAGGCCCGCTCCCCGCACATCACGCCCCTCCCTTCGCCGTCTGGCCCTGCACACGTTTGCTTTCTCAGCCCCTTTGTAGAGTGTTGGGTTCTGTTGACGTCGGTAAAGCAGAAGTGGGGCAGGAGCCTGGCTGTCCCCGGGGTGATCCTGCCTCCACCTCTGTTGGGTTGAGGGATCTCGAGCAAGTTTTTACCCAAGTATGTGCGTCGGTTCCCTCCGATGTAGAATAAGGCACGATAACCACTCCGTCACAGGGTTCTAGCAAAGATGGAGTGATGCTTATACTTGGAAAGCACCTAGAGTGCTTCCTGATACCTGGTGGGCATTTGAAGGATGGCCGCTGTTAAATACCATTATTTGTGGTGGTGGTGTTATTATTGTAAAACAAGCCGAGTCCTTAGATCCTTCTGCCCAGGTTAAAAATACTGAAGGTAAATGTGTGTGTAACTCGAGGCCCTGCCATGCATCTCTGTCCTGGTTGCTCAGGTGTACATACAGCCCCCGGTCCCCCTCACACCTGCTTTCCCTCTGCTTCCATAAATCTCCAAGCCCAGAGCTGTGCTGCATGTGTGAGGCCTCACCAGATCTCTCCAGATCCCTTCCCGCGCCCCCCTTCCGCCAACTGCCCCATGCCCCCCAAACCTCGATGCCACACCCAACCACAGCCTCCCACCTGACAATGGCCTTGAGGTAGAGGTCGCCTGGGCTCTATGGGACCATGTTGTTATAGAAGGAGAGACAGGTGGGTGGAAGAGTAACCAGGTCAGAACAAAAGCAAAAAAAGTGATGTCTCTTTAAAAACATTAAAATATATATATATATATATATTTTTTTTTTTTTAAATTTATTCATGAGAGACACAAAGAGGGAGAGACACAGAGGGAGAAGCAGGCTCCCTGCAGGGAGCCCGATGCAGGACTTGATCCCAGGACCCCAGGATCACACCCTGAGCCAAAGGCAGATGCTCAACCACTGAGCCACCCAGCCACCCCACTTTAAAAGCATTCTTTCCAAATAAATAAATAAATAAACAAACAAACAAACAAATAAATAAAAGCATTCTTTCCAGGCACCTGGGTGGTTCAGTTGGTTGAGCCCACTTCTCCCTTTGCCCCTCCCCTGCTTGTGCTCTCTCTTGCTCTTGCTCTCAAAAAAAAAAAAAAAAAAAAACTTCTTTCCCTTTCTCCTACCTTTGTCAAAAGGCTTTAAGTACAAAACACCATCATTTAAGACTAACCAGAAAGATTAGTATGTCATTTTGTATAATTAGCATTTACTGAATCATTCAAGAAGTAGTGTCTTTGGTGAAAGTGATTACCATGAGCTTAATCGTTTAATAAGCTGTTTTAAACCATCTGCATTCAGGTGTCGTAAGTATAATTCTTTTTGAGGAAACCGATCAACCAGAACGTTTCTACCCCTGCCAGACACACTCTTTCTTGTTCACTACAGCTGTCCACTCATTCACTGACATCAAATCCGACGATGAGCTGAACCAGATTTTCCCAGAGGCCATTTTCCCCATTTGCCCAGAGGGTGGGGATACCTTGGAGGGATCCATGGACCAGCTAAAGAAGGGCCTTGAAAGCGGGACGGTGCTGATCCAGTTCGAGGTAAGAGGCCACAAGGGCCATGTCCTGGGCCTGTGGGGAAGCCACAGCAGCCCAGTGCCTCCGTGGGCTGCTCGGATGCTGCTGAGTGACCCGAGTCTCCAGGCAGCCTGTGCTCGTCATGGGAACACAGCAGGGGACTCAGAGCACAGGGCAGCAGAGCGGGCCCAGAACGCCGGGAATGGGACCACAGCCTGGTGCTGAACTCAGCCTCACCCTCTTACCTAGTAATGCTCCGTAGCCATGGAGAAACGTGTCAGAAATTGAGGAGGAGGGACTCTGAGCATATTTAGCTGCCAACACAAAAGCTCAGAATGCTCGGCAGTGGAAGGTGCTGGAGAGGCAGTGTGGGTGAGCCCCGGAGGGTGGCGGAGGAGCCAGCCAGTCCCTGACCCCACCAGACACCCTCTGTAGTTTGGAGCAGGTAGGTAGCATCATCCCATAAGGGCGGAGCGGCCGGCCTGCCCGGGTCCCCCAGAACCGTGTGAACAGAAGTAGAATCCAGAGGCAGACCCTGTCTTCCTTCCCTAGGAGGAACCTCTAGTCACAGAATTGAGCCTGTGACACAGGCATACCCAGGGCCCTCCCAGAACAAAGTGGGAACACAGGAGATTCGGTTTTTAAGTCCACAGACGGATTGCTAGCAGAATGAAAATGGAGCGTGTGTATCTTCTAAATTTTTTAAAGGTAGAAGAAGAGTAGTTCATGCCATAATTATAACAGAGGAGCACAAAGAAACCTAACATAGACCGTTAAAAGAAAATAGATCGTGATTAGCGACTACTTACGGAGTCAGGATTCATAAATTAGGAAAGAGTCCAGATTCGGTTCAAGCGCAGATGTCAGCAATGCCATTTGTATTTGGAAAGCTACAGAAAGGGAAAAGTCACAAAAGCAAAACTGAGAAGTTTGTCAAATGCATGTGGCCCCATATGGATTCAGGAAAGCATAAGTGACCTCAATATTGAAAAGCAAACACCATAAAGCAAAGACTCTTAAGTGAAAGAAAGGTTTAGAATGGCTTAAGGAGTAGCATGTAGATAATGTGCGTTACTAGAGCATGTGTATCCAAACAATAGTAGAAAGTATATAAAAAAAAAAAAAACCTAGAAATAAAAGATGAGAATTAACCCCACCCCGAAAACCAAAAAACAAAAAATAACCTCCTATCTTGTGGAAATGAAATCAGGGTAAGAGGGTAGTACTATCCTAACTTGGTAGAAGTAGTAGACAGGCACTGAGTATCTACAAAGAGGAGCAGCCCCTCTTTCCAGTGTCCTGCAGGAGGCTGCATCGATTGAAGATTTTGATGGACGAAAACGTAGAGGTTATGTTGTCGGGCCCTGCACTGCAAAAAAGTTCAAAATTGAGATATACGTTGTAAACACTGTAAAGCTCAACTTTTTAAACACTCTCCAAAAATCATTGAAACGATAAGATAAAAGCCGGTTACGGAATATGAATAAATACTTGGCATTGGAGGGGATGGTTCGGAAAGGCGGGGAGACACTTTGGAGGGGCTCGTTCGGCGAGCCTGTGTTAGGTATTCACCACATGCCAAACATTGGGTCAGGACACAGGGGAAGAGAGGATTTCTGGCCCCAAGGAGCTAATGGTCTAAAATTGGTGTATCTGGGGGATGTATCACGAGTCCCTGAAACAGCTACAGACCAAGGATAGGGCAAGATTTCCTTACTTACGTAGGAGGTATGTTCCCTAGGAAATGGAGGTGGGGTGGGGGTGGTTCCAGGAGGTCCTCCGGGGTGAGATGTATTAAGAGGATGGATGGGATTAAGTGTGGAGGGAAGGTCATGCCAGGAGGGTCACAGCCTGAAGGCAGACTAAGTTCCTAAGGTGTCAGGTAGTACAGGGAAACACAGGTACCTACCTGGGTTGAGCAGTGCCACAAGGAGTCCTGGGAGGAGTCTCCAGGTGTTGGGAGTCCTTGAATGGCGCACCTCTGTCCTCGATCGTATTGTCCACAAGGAGGCACTGTGGGTCCTCAAAGAGGGAAAAAGAGCTTAACCGTGGTCTTCCACAGTGCTCCGGGAAACCCCCTCCATGCGGCCAGCTCCGCTTCGGTTTTACATATGGGAATCCCACGTAAGATTTTCCTTGAGCACTGTTCAACCGACCTTCACTGAGAGGTTTAAAAATACTTGAGAGACAAGTACCCGCCATCCCCTGCAGTTTTGAGTAGTGTCTCTCCAAGGGTGACCCACTGACCGACCGCCTGCATGGAATATACCCCCAGGTGCTTGTGAAATGGGGCTCAACCCACAGCTGCTGGATGAGCCGCACGGGGATGGGGCCTGGCTGTTGATCCTCCTCACAAGATTGGTGGGAGATTTCTGATGGACACGCTGCCCCAGGGGGACCACAGAGTGGGGACTGTACCACTGCTGCCCATGTCAAGTGTCCTCTTTAGAGCTTACAGTTGGACAGCAGCATGAGAAATGGAGACCTTAGAAATTTTAGGGTTACATTTTAGGATGTGCACGTTTCGTTCAGTCTATACGTTTCCTAGAAATCGAGTGGGGGGAAAAACCCTCTTTTTAACTATGGTCTTTTGCGAAAGAGGTAACACCAGAGCTGCTCCCTGATGGATCTGGTGGGGTACCTGGAGCCCTGCCTCCTTGATCTCCCCACACTACCCGCCCCCACCAAGGAACCCTAGAGTGTGGAACATAATATAACGACCCCTGTTATAGAAGGAGGAAGATGTCTCCCGCACCTCCTTAGAGGGGAGGAATGCTCAAGGAAACCAGATCAAACAGGAAATGACTACAAAGGGAAATCTTTAATTGAGCACTTAGTGCATGTGCCAAGCACCTTGTGGGCATCGCCTCACAGAACTGTTCTCCCCACTGTATTGACGAACGACCAGAGTCTCAGAGAGCTTATTGCACAGTAAATGGTTCAGCCCGATTAGAACCAGACAAGCTAATTCAGGAGCTTGTTCTCTTAACAAGTATACAACTTTGGAAACAACAAAGTGGCATTTACGTGTGGGAGTTGTTATTAGAATAGTCCAGCAGCATCAGAGCTAGAAAAGATCTGAGAAGCAATCTAGCCACACAGAGCCAGGCTTTAAATCCTGGCTCTGTCACTCACTCCCGGCGTGACCTCAGGCAGCATGTCCCTTCACCTCTCTGTACCCTCTACTTCCCTGTCTATAAATTGGGGAGCTCATGAGTTGGCTAGAAGGGTTAGATGAGATACATACTCAACGCATGGTTTAGCACATGGTAAGAATGCAATAAAGAGTAACAACTATTATTATTTATAAACAACACACTTAGTCTCCATATAAGAAGTGGTCGTGTCTCCTGGGTTTGGAACTCTGGGCTATCTGACTCCAGCGTCTTGGGTGTTCTGGTTTTCCACCTGTTCCTCCAGTACCATTGGCAGATGGCAGCATATCTGATGGGGGCTGTGCTCTTGGCAGGAGCAGGGGGGGTGCTGGTCCCTAGCAGGTGCCCACACTACCCACCCCCTTAGCGTCAGCTAAGGGCCTGCCGTGGGGTAGCCGGGCCATGGATGCAATACCCCCTGTGATGGCTAGCTGGTTTTCAGCAAAGCTTGTTTGGAAGCATTTTTTTCATTAGGGGAATTCCCCCATCCCTCCCGTGGCTTTGGGTAAACAATTACTAATGTGTTCCAGAAAGCATTTGGTCCCAGCTGCGATAAAATCACGCTTAATAATTATTAGCATTTCTGTAGCACTTTGGAATCTGCCAAGTATGTTGCACATAGGTTGTCTCTGTTGATTCTTGCAACTTTGGGAGGGCGCCTTTGTAGATGGAGAAAATGAGGCTGGGGGGGGGGGGGACTTGCCTCGTGTCAAGTGGCCGGTGGGACAGAGGTAGGGTTAGAACCTGTTAACGTCTAGCGAGTGTCCGAACTCACCACTGCCGGGTGCCCCCCCAGCTCCTCACCCAGCCTCCAATCGGAGCCCTTCCCTCCGGGAGCTACAGATTGGCATCTAACTGCCTCAGTACTCTGCCTGGTTCAGCCAAGCGAGGGCGTCGCTCTGTCTTACGTTAAAGGAGAAGATTTGGGGTTTGCACGGCTCCAAGTCTTACCATCTCCAGGGTGCTCTTTTGTTAAGGAACTCATTAAGTCGGCCCCGGGTTCATTCCTTTGCGAAGGAAACTCAGTGGCTCATTTCATGCTTTCCCTGAGTTGACCTATTTAAGCGAGGGGAGGGGTGTCCTTTGAGAACCAGCTTCCCAGCAAAGGACTTTTGCGCCCGTTCCCATGCGGTGACCAAGTGATGTGTAACTTCTCTGCCTCCTTCTTGTCCAGTGAAGACTTATTTTTGGACATTTGGAGTGAGGACAATAGGAAATGAACCTCTGTCCTCCTCCCTCTCTGCACTGATAAAGCAGAGACCTCAGGACTCCAGCTCAGAAACCCCCACCCATTGCACTTCAGCATCATTGTCCTCCTCTACTCTTCCGACCCATTTTTCCTGAAGTCCCTCCTACATCCCCCTTACAGGAAACATCCATTAGTGTGAAAACTAGTGACTCACTGGCTCCTATGACTACTATAAAAGTCGATTTGGAAGGACTGAGGTAGCTGAAGACTTAATGAGAGGTTCAAATTGACACACGTAGGAATTAGTGAAGGCAATTATAATTAGAATTCATACCTTAAAAAAAAAAGCATTTAAGAATTTTCCCGGGTTTTTTTCTTTAAGGAAAATGTTTCATAATTGTAGAATACAGAAAGCAAGTGGGAGGGCTTTGCATTTGAAATTCCGGAAGCCCTTTAAAGGCAGTGTCACCCCAACTCGTTATCCTGTATTTATGTGTGAAAGGGACTCAAAGGAATGCTTAATCCGAGGCTGGGGGATCTACGTCTGGGACTGTGTATTTGAAGTAGCACTTTTGGAGGTCCCCAAATTACTAGCAATAGTGTTTATTTCAGCAAACCTTTATGGGAATATAAGGGGAGGCTTCAGGTCCCCTCCAGACAGCGTCCCTTGCCCTCTGGCT